TAGTATTCTAATTTAGTAATTCATAGAAAATAATAAGTACCTTATGGGTCTTTTAGCAATGATTTAGATGCTAGGAATATAAGTGAAAAATGGACATCTTTTTTGGAGAGGCGAGCAATTTGGGAAGGAGTCTTTGAGACCTGGAAGGTGCCGTTAGAAATGATACAAACCTTCTTTTAGACAGAGGATGCAGAGTGGTTGTGATTAAGATGTGAGGTAAGATCCCAGGGCTCTTGCTCCTGTCTTTCATACTTGGAAGTGTTTTGGTTATTCTGAGCCTGTCATGACATGCTGTTTATTTTTGTTAGCATTGTCTAAGGAAGAAGGTTATGAAAAATTGGTTTTTTTGAGATTATGAATGGACTGAGTCTTAATGGAAGGTGTTCCAGTAGTAACCCATTGGAATGCTGATTTTAACCTCCTGTTGGCAAATAAAAAGAATATATGGGTGATGCACTAAAGGAAGAACAAACATGAGGAGAGAATTCAGGACTTGACCGTAGGAACCCTAGTTCTAAACCCAAATCTTCATGTTACAGCTGTGGTGACCCTTTAGATAGGTCATTTAAACACTCTGGGTCTTTGTGGCATCATCAGTGTAATGAGAGTAGTCTACCACAGAGATGCCTAAGGTTTTTCTAATTTTAAATTGTGTTTAGTATTGGTCACAAGAGGGTTATAGCTCTTTGGAAATTTTACGGTTAAACCATAAAATTTAGCTTCATGAAACTTAGCTTCATTTGCGGTTTAGTTGCTCAATTATTGTTCCCTGTCCTTTGGATTTCATAACTAGATTTGTGCAGAGTATTGTGCAAATATGGCACATATAGTTTGTGGAACTCTTCGAGGAAAGAAAATGAAAGTTGCTCAGTCATGTCTGACTCTCTGTGACCCCATGGACTATACAGTCCATGGCATTTTCCAGGCCAGAATACTGGAGTGGGTAGCCTTTCCCTTCTCCAGGGGAACTTCCCAACCCAGGGATCGAACCCAGGTCTCCCACATTGAGGGCAGATTCTTTACTAGCTGAGCCACAAAGGAAGCCCTTGACGGAATCTTGAGGGAGAAGGGTTTGGGGGTTCTTCTGGCAGCAGGAGGGCCTAGTGGGCCTCCCGAGTGGCGGAGCCTACTTTGAGGAAAGCTCTATGTTTTTCCTGGAGCTTTATTTATGTGAGGAATGTGTGTATTTCTCCCATGATCTCTCTCCTTCCCTGAAACCTCAAACAGAAATCCTAGAGGCAGGGGCGTTTTAGAAAGCACTTAAACTTTTAACTTGTCTCAAACAAAAACACCCACACATTTAAGGCAATACTTTTTTTTTTTTAAGTCAATCCTCTTTTGAAGGTAGTAGGGCAGAGAAGTGTGTGTATACTTGGTATATTAATATACTAGAGGGTTTAGACCACTGAGTTTTTGCTATAAAAACAACTTAGGTTTTGCTTTGTTATATAGTGAGCGAGTAGATGGAGAGCTGTGTTGATTAAACAAGTACCACACCCTGACCGCTAAGTCTCTGAGGTAGATATTGTTATCTTCACTTGTTAATTAGAATGTTAGGTTCAAAAAGGGCAAATGGTTCAAGGTCATAGCATTAATTAATGGCTAATTGATTCTGAGTCAGAGAATTGTCATTTGAGAGCCTTTTCTAGTTTCAGTGCTTCCTTCTGCAGTCCAAAGGTAGAGATTCTGAAGGTCCCTATTAACTTAGCTGAACCTAATTACAGTAGCAACCAAAGGTTAAAAAGTGCAGGGCTTGGGTTAAGTGCCTATAGGCAGATATTATCTCAGTTTATCTTTATTGCTGCGCTTTGTATTAATAGCTACTGTTGTCTCCATTTTTCTAGAGGAAATTGTGGTCCTGAGAGGTTAAGTAACTAGCTCATGGGTTGCAGATGTAACTGGAATTCTGGTTTCTCAAGCCTCAGAGTAATCTCTTCAACATCACACTTGCTACACTGGCTTTCCAACCTGAAACAAATAAGTTGTTGAAATTGACCATATGGACCTAGATAACTCATACAAGTGTCATTTTGAATGTGACAGTTCAGGAATCTAGCTCTGGCTTCACCTTACTGTGGTTTGAATTCACCTGTGTGGTAGAGTTCTTGATTTCAGCTCTGAGGGTTTCCTCCTCACTGCAGTACAAGACAAACCTTTGCACAGCTTCTTTCTTGGGATCTAGGCTGTGGAAGCTGACTACCCCGTGACTGCTCCACAGGAAGGAGAAGGGTCAGAGCCAAGGGCAGCAAAGGGACAGACATCTCCGGGTTGGGTGTAAGAGAATGAAACAAGTTTTTTTTTTTTTTGAAACAGGTTTTTAAAGACTCTTACTGTAATCAGGTGACTGTTTTGAAGGATACTGCTCATTTTATTTTGAAAACAAGGTGGGTAAATATGTGGCAAAGAATCAGTTTTGTAACTTTTAAATCTCATCCTAATTTGTATCCATAGCTAATAAGGTGAAAATCCAATTTGTGTATTTTTGCCATATTCTATTCTTGTTAGGCAGAGTGTAGTATTTGTGATTGCTTTGAGAAGACCTACTTTTCTACATTGTATGCATTTGAATTTGTTTCCCACATGATCTAGAGCTATGGGGTTTTTTAACATTGTGAAGCAACATTTTAATTTAATGTTATTGCTTAAAATTTACACTGTGCTAGACATTGTGGCATTCTACACAAATGGTAAGGAACTAAGAGTGGGAAATTAGGCAAAGGTGAAAGTTGTTTAATATATTTGAAAGCTGAATATGCTTTGCATGTAACTTACGTGCAAAGTAAAGCAACTTGTGGCAATGAGGTGACATTCTGCTCTCCGAATATGAGCCAGCATTTTACCCACATTTGGCAGGTTCCTAGTGTGTGCTCTGAGTGTACACTAATGGGTGTGTTTAAAACAGGGCAGCTTACAGTGTGAAAATGAAAGCAGCAAAGTAGCTACAGCTAGTGTTTTAAGGGGTAAAAAAATCTCCAAGGGGATTCCTGTCGAATCCAGTTAATGAAGCCCTTCCATTTTCAGAGATGGTTATAGGGAACCAGACTGTGGCAACAAAATAGCAGGGGGAAGTTAGAAAATTTCCTGAATCTTTCTGTTATTTTTAGTAAATCTAGTTCGTGAATGTGAATCTCTTTTGCTGAGGTGGCCAGAAGTGAGCCTACTGAATTTCTTCCTCCCGCTGCCTTGTTTCTGAGGATGGGGAATCTCACTGCATTTGGCCCTTCTCAGGTTCTAGCTAACCAGCCACCTGGCGCTAAACTTCCGCTTGAAGATGCAGGGTAGGCCAGAGGTCCTTGCGTCTCACATGAGCGTCAGCCGTTTACAGGACTCTGCACCGGGTAGACTGCTGTTCACCTGAAAGCTGGCTTGCTTCTCTGCGAAGGTCATTTCCTTCAGGATTGTTAGGAAAGTTCTTTTATGTGTTACCTCAGATAGCTGCTATTAGTCCTTCTCTACTCCTTTTGGGTCATTCTGAACAAGTCTAATTTTATTTAACAGGTCTCCACATATTCCAGAATAGTAATCTTGTTGTCCCAGAGACTTCTCTTATCTAGACTAAACAGCCTCTCTTCCTGGACAAATTTTTCATGGTTTTGAGGCCGCCCCCCCCCCCTTTTTTCCCCTAAGTGCCTGTTTCTGAAGTTTCTTATTCAGAGAGAAATTTCAAAATTAGTCTAATAAACGTGGAACAGATTAGTCCTGTGGTGAATGCTGTGCTTTCGGTAAATGTAGTCATATAGTAAGTAATTTTTTCCTTGAGATCCAGTGTACGGCTAACTCATATAAAGCTTGCTTTCAATTAAAAATCTCCATTCTTTTATAAATACCGTATCCTAATGCATGTATACGGAAATCTAGAAAAATGGTACTGAAGAATCTATTTACAGGGCAACAATGGAGAAACAGACATAGAGAATAGACTTATGGACATGGGGAGAGGAGGGGTGACATGTATGGGAGCAGTAACATGGAAACTTACATTACCATATGGAAAATAGATAGCCAATGGGAATTTGCTGTATGGTGCTCTGTATCAACCTAGAGGGGTGGGATGGGGAGGGAGATGGGAGGGAGTTTCAAAAGGGAAGGGATATATGTATACCTGTGGCTGATTAATGTTGAGGTTTGACAGAAAAAATTTTGTAAAGCAATTGTCCATCAATAAAAAATAAATTAAAAAAAAAAATCTCCATTCTTTGAAAAACATTGTTTTCCATTTTGGCCTCCCCCATTCAAGTAAAAACAAAAGCTGCATTTTGCTTTACAAGATTTAACAGCTCTGTAGAGCTTGTCTTGAAATCTGTTTTTGTCATAGCCCCATGTTATCTCCAGCTTTAATGTCTTCTATGTTTTCATCCAGGCAATTAGAGGCAACTGTTGAGTAATTGGGGAAAACAGGGGCATACCTCTAAAAACTTAACAGACTGGTTTTAATCCATTATCTTTTGAGTACTTTGTAAAACATAATTTTATGATTCAATTTAGTTGTCCTGTTTTGCCCATGTTTACTTTGTCCACAAAGGTAGTATACAACCTTGTCACAGGTCTTACTGTTGTCCAAATATATCATGTCTACAGCATTGACTTGACGGGCCAGTTTAGTAAAACTACCCAAGAAAGAAGTAACTTTGGATTCTAAGTAAAAAAAATTACTTGGAATCCATCTAAGCCCATGCATTCACAGGGCCTAGTGAATCCATGCTGGGCTACTGTGATCACGACCTTCTTTTTCTCAGTATTTAGAAACCATCTCTGATTTTAGATTTATCCAGGATAGATAGGGAAGGATGACAGTCATGGTCAGGGGAGGGCGGGTGGTGCGGCGGATAGACAAGTTATATATATTAAGGGTATGCTGTGTGCCAGGTCCTATATTGGAAGTAATGTTAAATAGTCATGAATAGTAACTGGGAGTTGGTTGGGGGAATGATTGCAAGGTGTTTGGTTGTAATTATAGTGTAATTTGGGTTTTTTTTTTTTTTTAAGGAATAAGGTGCAGAATGAGTACCTCACAGGACCAGAGTGGCTGCTCCACTAATAGAGAACCCCTTTTGAGGTGTTGTGATGCACGGAGGGACTTGGAGCTTGCTATTGGTGGAGTTCTCCGGGCTGAGCAGCAAATTAAAGATAACTTGCGAGAGGTGTGATGTATGCTTTTCTTTTCCCTTGTCTGAACTCTTAGCACAGGTCTAGTTAGAGCATAGCCAAGGGATTGGCTTCTTCAAACCAAAAAGTTTTTATCCCATGCCTTGCATATCCGCCTGAAATGTTGGTGCCTTTGATTCCAAAGGGGAAATGGAGCAGATGTTAGAAGAATCTAGAAATTCTTGTACCACCTTACAGAGTTCAGTTTAGCCTACATTTTTGATTGCTCCTCTCTGTGGTGCCTGTGCCAAGCACTGCCATCAACTGGAAAGTAGCAAAATGAATGAGCTCAGCCATTGAACTGTTCAGTTGTGTTCCTGATGCACAAAGGGTGGCATTTCCACATCCCCTGCTGTCTTTTAACTTGGTATTGGCATGGCATGATTCTGTAAATGAGTTAGTTGTTAAGAGCAGGCCAAGATGAAATCTGTTCCTTCTATTGGCCTAACAGCATTCTGTTGGTGAATTGGTAGACCAAGTATTACATGACTGAAATACTATTTTACTATACCTGAAAAGGTGTTTTGAAATGTAGTTCCTTATGTGGATTCTCATGGATAATTCCATGGGTAATCTCATGTATAATTCTCATGGATAAATCATAAATAATACAGCCATTAAGATTTTCTTCCGTAGGATTTTTATATTTATCCCTCTTTTGCATCACTGTTTGTACTTCCAGAAGCATTTAGTTAATAATTTTACGTAAACTGTCTACCCTAATAGTCCTCTGGCTGTTGACACGTAGTGGTTCATCTCTTCACGAAATTGGTCTGCTGTAAATGTGTTGCTTATTCGTAGGGTGAGAAAAGAGATAAGGGTTAGCTAGTTACATTCTTGTCTTATTCCACTGATGAATTTGTAAAACTATAGGTTTTCAAATTATGTGGAAAATATAGGGGAATCAGTATTACATGATATATCCTTGTATTTTCTTTTGACTTCTTTAGGACACCCAAAATAAACCTTATCCTCTTAGAAGGAGGGGTATTGAGGGTTTTAGAGCTTAAAGATGCTTTTATGGCTGAAAATCTTAAACTGGGTCCATGGGGCTTTGATTGTTCGATGGGTGGGCTTTGGAACATTCAACCCTGAAATTATAGGCAAAATTTTAAGTGTATGCATTTTTCTGGGGAGGTACTCCATACATGTCATCATTGGATAATCAGAAGGATTTGTGACCCCCAGAAATTTAAGAACCTTACCATTCTGTGGGAAACACTGTTCTTTGGTGAAGCTAACATATTTATGTTTCCTAGGTCAAAGCCCAGATTCACAGCTGCATAAGTCGCCACCTGGAATGCCTTCGAAGCCGTGAGGTGTGGCTGTATGAACAGGTAGATCTCATCTATCAGCTTAAAGAGGAGACACTTCAGCAGCAGGCCCAACAGCTCTACTGGGTAAGATGACTGCAAGGCCATAATATGGTTTTTGGTTTCCAGAGACTGTCTTTTCTGTAATGAAGCATTAATGCAGATCAGATAAAAATCTAATTTCAAGTATTATTTGCTATTTGTTAACTTGGAAACACTTGGTGCTTTTCGGATCATTGTGGCTCTGTGATTTCAATTTTCTTCTAGTTACTGGGCCAGTTCAATTGTCTTATTCATCAGCTGGAGTGCACCCAAAACAAAGACTTAGCCAATCAAGTCTCAGCTTGCCTGGAGAGGTAAAGACCCTTTTTGTGTGTTTTGATTTTGGCTCTTTGACTTTGGTGTATTAAAAAGTCACTTTGTAACTCTTTGCATGACTTGGATTTAACTTGGTGTTAAACTTAATGTTCGTTTGATAATATCTTGCTTTAAATATTTAATATCATACTTGGCAGTACATGGTTAAGTCATCTATCTTTGGTTGAGTTACTCAACGAAACTTCAAATAACTCACAATTTGGTTTTTATTTTGGATGAATTTGAAATAGGTATTTCTTTAAAATAGCCAGATTTTGTTTACTTTTTTCTCCAGACTGGGCAATCTGACCCTCAAACCTGAAGATTCAACTACTTTACTCTTTGAAGCTGACATAACTGCCCTGCGCCAGGCAATCACCACATTTGGGTCTCTCAAGACCATTGTAAGTAATGTTCACCTCAGAAGGTTCATAGTGAGCTTCTCAGGTCTATGGCCAGACAGATGGTCTTAAAAATAGCATGTTTTCACTATGCAAAGGGACTTTGTTCAGAATTTGGTAAGCTTTAGATACTTAATGTTCTGATTGAATTTATAGAGCATTAGGCTGGTAGTGCTTGGAATGTATTATTGACTGATTGATTGTCTCTGGAATTCATCTTTGTACCTCTTTAAATACCTTTGACTTATTTCTTAAGAAATTTATGGCTTGAATGGTCTATAAGAGTCAAATACCATCTCATCTGGGTCTTGTTAGTAGTTGTAATACTATTGGTTCTGGTGAAGGTTTCTTCTGTGAAGATAGTTATGTAGTAGATAGAGAATTCTCAGATTTTGTAACTACTTCATAGGTCACTGAATTTAGTGTGAAGAATATTTATTCTAGTGAACTGTAACACTTTGCTTAGTACTTTTGAAATTTAGGGATTACAAGTTCACTTTTTTGGTATGAAAGCATAACATTAGTAAGCACAACTAATTTGCTTTTTATCTTATAGCAAATTCCTGAGCACCTGATGGCTCATGGTAGTTCATCAAATATTGGGTCCTTCTTAGAGAAGAGAGGCTATATCCCATTGCCAGAGCAGGTAAAGTGTCATTTTGTTTCTGGTAACTGAGTTATTATTTGGCTTGCATTTCTTTGGGGTTTTGATTATATAACTTTTTGGGGGGGCTATCATTTATTTGTAAAAAGGCACCAGTGGTAATAAATGAGTTTATACTTCCCTTGAGACTGAATGTCAGAAATTTAGAGGTTTTAGAGGTGTTCAGTAACAAAGTAATTGTTATCACTTAGTTCATAAGAGATTATCATTAGCTCTGTGATTGGGTTGGTTCTCTTAGGGATCCTTCTCTCTATCATTTACTTCTGAAGGCAGTGTGAGACGTGTGAATATAGGGTCCTAAAAGTTTTGAGAAGTTTTGAGAAGTTTTGGGTTGAGAAGCTGATTTCCAGCTGTACTCTTTGTTTTGTAATTGTGAAAATGGAGGCTTAGGGAAATCATTTGACTTGTGCAAGGTCAGCACCGAGCCAAGATTAAAGAGCTTGGGTCTCCTGTTTTTCTGGCAAAGTTTTTGCTGCATTTGACATTGCCTTGTTAAGCAGCAAAGTATTATGTGATTAGCAGAAGTCAGCATCCAGCACCACAGCTGTCCCTCTCAGTGAATGGCTCCTTGGAAGTAAACCTGCCGTTGGTCACCAGGCTCCTTACCTACCCAGCACCAATCTCCAGGACTGGCTCAACCAAAAGCAGACCTTGGAGAATAGTCAGGTGTGTTTCTGCCTTTATTGTTTCTGAGATAGGTGACATAATGGTCTTAGTTATTAACTGATAGTATGTCTTTGTTTTTTAGTTCTAGTCTGGGAAACATGTATTTTAAAAATAATATTTTATTACATTAGTGACACCTCTGCACTGTAGATTAGAAGTTTAGGAAAAAACTATATAAAGAAATACAAGTTCATAATCCCACATGCAGAAACTACCACTGTAACATTTTGTTTATGTGTACATATACTTGCATGAATATATTTCTGTCATTTAATTTCTTCCATAAAATCACTCATAGTATATAGTATTTCATTGATTGGCTGTAAACTTGTTTTTCTAAATATAAATAAATTTCTTTTGCATGTCCAGGAGATAATTATTTATATGCATTCTTGATTAGTTCTTTAGGAACAAATTCTTTTTTTTTTTTTTTTAAGTTCCACATAAGACAAAGATTTATTTTCTTTTTTTTTTTTCCATTTATTTTTATTAGTTGGAGGCTAATTACTTTACAACATTGCAGTGGTTTTTGTCATACATTGAAATGAATTAGCCAGGAACAAATTCTTAGAAATTGTGTTCCTGTAGTTCTGCAGACCCTTTAAGGCTTTCAACACATACTGTTGATTTGGGTTTCCAGAAAGTCCATACCAGTTTATTTACCTTCTTCCCTAAACATCTCTAACAGTGGTAGTCATTTACAAGTTTCTTTCTCTGAATTTAGCACAAAAGAATAATTTTACTTTTTGAGTTTCTTAGGTTACTAAGGAGATTGAGTATTTTTCATGTTTATTAGCCAACTTTGATGACTTCTCTAATATCTATGGCTCATTTTTGTCTTCTTTACTCATAAATGCACATGTCAAAACTACTTATCTCTTTTCTACAAGATATGCTATAAATGCTTTCTCCTAGTTTGCCTTTTTTTTTAACTGCAGAAATTTAAGTTTTAATATAGTTAGTATTTTAATATCTCAGAGAAATCCCATGTCTTTTGGCTGCATAAACTTAAAAACATTTTGTAGTATGGTAAATATAAGTAGAACTCTTATCATTGAATTTCAAGGCAGTCATAATATTCTAGCAAAGTAATAATGTGTATTTCTTGTGTAGATGTCTGCTAGAGCCTGCAGTTTCTTGAATAAAGTCTGGGGCAACCTAAAGGGTTTGGAAAACTGGCTCCAAAACAGTCAGCAACAAGAAGTTTCTGAAAAACCAAGTTACCAAAAGTCTAACAGCTATTCTACTACTAGTTCTTACTCCATTGAAATCGAAAAGGTTGGAGATCTAGAGCCTCTTGATCAAGATGAGATGGATCTCTCTGACTGGCTGGTAACTCCCCAGGAATCCCATAAGCTTGAGAAGCCTGAGAATGGCGGCTGTGAAACCTCCAGTGAGAAGTTTAAGCTCTTGTTCCAGGTGTTCCAGGAGTCCTACAATGTGAATGATTGGCTTGTCAAGTCTGATTCCTGTACCAATTGTCAGGGTAACCAGCCCAAAGGTGTGGAGATTGAGAACCTGGGCAATCTGAAATGCCTGAACGACCACTTGGAGGCCAAGAAACCCTTGTCTGCTCCCAGCCCGACTGCTGAGGATTGGCTTGTCCAGAACCATCAAGACCCATATAAAGTAGAGGAGGTCTGCAGAGCCAATGAGCCCTGTACAAGTTTTGCAGAGTGTGTATGTGATGAAAATTGTGAGAAGGAAGCTCTGTGTAAATGGCTTCTGAAGAAAGAAGGAAAGGATAAAAATGGTATGCCTGTGGAACCAAAACTTGAACCTGAGAAACATAAAGATTCGCTGAACATGTGGCTCTCTCCATCCAGAAGAGAGGCAGCAGAACAAGCTAAGGCACCAAAGGCAGTGGTTTCTTCTAGAATTGCTGATTCCTTCCAAGTCATCAGGAACAGTCCCTTGTCAGAGTGGCTCATGACCCCCTCACACAAAGAAGGATGTCCCAACAAGGAAGTGCCTCTTATAGAGGACTGGGGTGGCAAACAAAAGCTTACAAGCCCCTTGGCCACTGCCTGGTGTCCCTTTAACACAGCTGACTGGGTCTTGCCGGGAAAGAAGACAGGAAATCTTAGCCAGTTATCCTCAGGAGAGGACAAGTGGCTACTTCGAAAGAAGGCCAAGGTGAGCCAAGATATTAAAACACCATTTGAAGTGTATTCAATAGATTTTTATTTTCTTAATCTCAAACCTTGCAAATAAATGGACCAGACCCGTAACTATCTTAACTGCTAAATATGGCTTAAGTATTAATTTTTGTGCCATGTTAGCAACGGAACATTTATGATTATTCATACTGGTTTGTGTGCATTTTCTATGCCCCACATCCCCATCTGGCCTATTTTATTGCAATTTATGGAAAAGATTAGGGGTAGAGAAAATAGTTGTCACCTTTGCTCTGTTACTAGAATGCCCAACACTCACATCATTCTTTATAGACATTAGACTGTTTGGAAGATGAATTGTTGGTATCATGCCTCCCACTTGTCATGTAGCAACCCACCCTTTGTCTTGTTGCAGGAAGTATTACTTAATTCGCCCCTACAGGAGGAACACAACTTTCCCCCAGACCGTTACGGCCTCCCAGCAGTTTGTGATCTCTTTGCCTGTATGCAGCTTAAAGTTGATAAAGAAAAGTGGTTGTATCGAACTCCTCTACAGGTTGGTATACGCCACTAGTGCAAATATTACAATTTTAGCTGCTTATGATTTGTCTTATATATGAATTCAGTTTGCTCACCGAACTGTATTTCTGTTAATGGTTTGTGTATTAGGTGAGGTGGGAAGAGAGAGATATAGAAACTTCATGTTTCACTTGAACTTGCTCCATGAAATCACTAGGACATACTTGAAAGTAACCTTTCCAGATTGATGTAGCTGTCAGAATTTTTGGAGCCTGTGTAGTTTCTAATAGCTTATTGAGAAACGAGAGCTTTAAAGTAGGAAGACATTTGCTTTTAATCTTACAGTGAAGTGACTTTTTATGTGGACTTTTCTTTACAGATGTGAAGGAATCAAGTACTAGTCAAGCAAATTTTCTGCAGATTATCACAAATCCATGAGCTGAGTGACTGTGGCTTGCGAAATCATTGTCTCTGGGTCTGATGTAGTTCCTTTCCTCCCTAGTTTCGAACTAGTGAAGAGAAATTAGTCATCAAATTATGAATTACTGTGTAAAAGAAAAAGGCGATTTGTTGATGCTGAGGTGATTCAGGTTCCTTCTTACAGAAGTATTAATTCACCCCTACGCTAGAAATGCATTTTAGTGGGTAGGTCTTTCTCATAAGCCTCCATGGCTCCTTAGATTGGGTTGTTATTAGAAGTACATTAAAACACTGTAATTTTAAAAATGAAATAGTTCTATAATCAAAGTGTGTTGATGTATTCTAAAGCGAGTACTTAAGCTTTTGATTGGCAGTCTTTGGATGCTTCCCTTATTGTGGGTTTTCTTCCATTAATGAATTCTTCTATTTAATTTATATACTATTGTATTGTATATCATTAACCTTGCCAATATAGTGTTTTTTTCTTACCAAAACACATACTGAAAGTCTTGGCAATTTTTGACATTTGTCAGAAACATTTTAGCTTAGGTGCCAGATTATACATTATTTTTCTTCTTTTGAAAGACATTCAGATTTTACAAGATTGTATTTCCTTCTCTAAATGTTATTATGAAAGAAGAACATCTCTTTCAGAAGAATTCCATATTGCTTGAAGCCTATATTCAGAGTAGTTCTAGCCGCTTCCAAAACATTCTGAAGAACTACAGGCAGCAGAGCCCCCAGTGCTGACTAATCAAAAAGCAAAGTATGTTGGAAATGTAGTACTTGAACTATTCACTATCCTAAGTGTTATTGGTGCATCCTGTGTAAATGGAAACTGAACTTGACACCTGGTGCTTTTAACTAGGCATAAATTAAACGTCCGCTCACTGCAAGCATAGCATACCTATACCTCTAATAAAAGTATAATGCAGTGATATTTTAGTGAATAGGAAGTTTTGAACACTTGTGCCTTGGGGTGTTTATTGAAGCTTTATGAAAACTATCGATGTTTCCTTAGTATCCTTAAAGTTATATCTGTGCTTTAAAAGTTTCTCTGTAGGAGAGAGATGGTATTTATAACCAGGTTTTAAAATTCTTTAAAATGAGACATCTTAGCTGCTTTCCACTTTTAAACTATTAAGCCACTCAACTTGCCTGTTATTGGAAATACCTTTAAAGTTTGTGATGCGGTAATCTAGAAAGCCCTTCTGGGGAAACTTCACAGTCCCAGTGTCATTGCCATACAGCTTCACTGGAGTTCTTAACCACAGCTGAAAGGAGCCTATTACTTTTCAGTTCTTCCAGACACCATTTAGAACTTTAAAGGTGGTGGGTAAAAACTTAAGGAGCTTTTCCATTATCTTAGGTTGCAGGAAACTTTGTAGTTGAGGTTTAACACATTGTGTATCCCTAAATTAACATTAATCACTATGCTAATGAGTATGTAAACCATTCTTTTGCATTGATGCATTTTGTACCTCCCTCCATTCATTAAAAGCATAACAGCCATATAGTTGTCCTGTGTATTTGTAAAACACCTTGTCACAAAATTACATGAATGTGGTATCCTTTGGTTACAAGTACAGCTGAGAAACTCTTTGAACATAAAAAATTCTTATATTCACTTAAAACAAAATGTTGTTTTATTACTCCTGAATTAGCAAATAGGTATGTTTTTACTATCTGCTGTTGTCCAGTGCTTTTCTGCCAAATTCCTAACTAGGTGCGTTCTAAAAGGCTCTACTTTACTTTCTCTATAATCATAATAGCCACCAGTTTATTATGTATATATGTAACCTGCAGTGCATTATTTGATTAATTTCATAATGAGAAAACACTCAGAAATCAAGTAACTTGTCCTTCCTTTCTTTAGCTTTCCCAGGGCTTCCTTAAAAACTTTCAGCTTGTGTCTATGTCATCTCTTTAATTGTCCCCAGTAAGAGTGAGTTAATATTGTTCTAGCACAGCAGACTAATAGTTAACCTGAAATATCTTGAGGTTGTTTAGTGTCAACTCTGTTGGAGAAAAATTTTAACCTAGTTGCTAATACTGCCAGTAGCCCTTCACTTCATCACAAACATGAAAACACACTTTGGCCTATGGGAGCAGAGACAAATCAAGAGTAACTTTGGAGAAACACCCACTATGTTAATGTTGGAGTTAGGACTTCAGTTCTATTTTCACCCTTTATTGGGAATACAGAGCAATATTACAGTCTTGGGTCATTAAATGAACAAATGTGGCTGATACAGTATTGACAAGCAGACCTGAATTCTGGGATGAAGTGGTTTTCCAGAAGTGGGTAGGAGCAAAAACAGGTGTGAGATCTTCTTAAGAGAACCACATTACTCAGCCGCCAAAGGGTGTTTTGTCTTCAATTCATTAAGGCTGGAAGGAGTGCCAGTCCTGGTCGACCATCCATGATCTTCATCACAGCACACTGGAATCTCTAGTTTTTCAATTAGGTGTAGATAAAGTAAATGCCTCCAGAATGACTTATAAATTGATCTGGGTGACTACTAAAGTGTCCTCCATTTGTAAACTAGCAAAATCTTCAGAGTGATTGTTGGAGCAAAGAGCCTTTCATGTGCTCCCAGTTATTATATAGAGCATAGAGGCTTGTAAGTGTTAGTCCTGCGAGACCACCTCGTGCTACCCCTCGAAGACCGCCTGGGAGAGGAAGAGAGGAGACATCATTAACAGACTTGCACTGCACACTGTCCCGTCAGAGGATTAAATAAGAGATTCGCAAAGCTGAGACACACTCTTCATACTTACGAAAATTTCATCCCAAACAGAATAAGCTCTGAAATTAATAAACCGAGACTGAAATTCAGTAGAAACAGATTTCCCCTTAAATCACCTGCTTAATATGTAACCTATGTATCCATAGTAACAGTCTTTTTTTCACTTTTAATTTCACATTTATCAGCATGGTTTTTTGACTTTTCTCAATCTGACTTGATCCTAGGACATTTCTGGACAAGACCTTATGCTTATTATTGAAATCCCAAGCAGATCAGTAATTCTCTGCTAGTCATAATTTAGAACTTCACTGGCACTGTCAATTGATTTAAGGCGGTATGTAAACAAGGTGATACCCTCTTTGGAAACAGTATTAACAGGCTTTGGACTCTGCACAGGTCCTCTAAATATTAACTTTGAAGACTCAAGACGAGGGAGATAAGATGGCTGTAATCAAGTTCTGATGAAGCACCAACTTTCCTATTACCTATCCCTATTCTGATGTTTCAGAAAATATCCAAATAATGAGCATAATTATTTGGATGCTAAGCATAACTCAGCATCATCATGTTGTTGTTTAGTCACTCAGTTGTGTCTGACTCTTTGTTGCGACCACAAGGACTGTAGCCCACCAGGCTCCTCTGTTCATGGAATTTTCCAGGCAAGAATACTGGAGTGTGTTGCCATTTCCTTCTCTAGGGGATCTTCCTGACCCACAGATCAAATCTGTCTCTCCTGCTTGGCAGGCAGATTCTTTACCACTGAGCCACCTGGGAAGCTCCAAGCATCGTCATACTAGTTGAAAAACACTCCAGGATTAGGATTAGACTTTGAACTATTTTTGCTTAACAAAAGAATTTTTTCACGTGGAAAAAGATTATGGATAGGTATTTCATTTGAAATGCAGAAACAAAAGGTTTCAACCAGTTACCTGAAAATAGTCACCAAGTCTAGTAAAAAGAATGGGGTTACCCAAAGAAGCTTTTAAGAAATACTTGATGTTCTCTTACAGTTTCACAAATAAGTAGGGATAACAGATGCTTCAGGTAGTCTATGTTGTATCTATGGAGTATTTGTTGCAAGTCGTGTTAGGAAAGCAAAGGTCCAGTGGTTAAGGTATACCTTATTAGAAGCCCTTTAGCTACACTCCAGTAGTTTCATGAAATTCAGTGACGCTGCTGAGTTAGAACACTTCAGACCAACCATTTCTGCAATGCATGTCCTGCCAGATGGCTTCAGATGATAGATTAAAGGGTTACTCCCTCTAGGAGCCTCTCTAGTCTGAAGACTTTAGATAGCTGACTGGCTTAGGCTTCAACTCTGAAGTACTTTAATTATCTCTCTTAAACAAACCCAAACAGAAACTGCAGCCATCATCTATAAACAGCCCTCAAATATGTAGGAAGGGGGATGATAAACATAAAAAATTAATCACAGTAAATGGGAGATACCTCCTTCAAGTCTATCTAAATCTTTTTGTATCTTGCCACACTTAAGATTAGGCATGATGGTTGAATTTGCAACTGTATTCAATGTGGCTGAAAAATGGGCTGACAGTGAACTTTATAGTTAGACCAAACTTCTAGAAATGGAAAAAATAAGCTATGAAGCCCAGGAAAAATAAATGCCATCTCCAACGGCATCAATATGTTCAGTTATTAGAGCTAAACTTTCTGAGTATGACGAATTTTTTTTTTTTTTTAACGAATGTTCTTTAAGCAGGTTACAAAAACAGAAGACCCTCCAGTGTAAACTGGAAACTATAAAGATTTAAGAACTTTGGGACATCAGTGGCATATTAAGTATCTCTTAACAATTTATCCCCTAAAATGCCTTCTACTTTCATACCAAAATGAAACAAACTTAGTTACTAGCCTTCTCTGAAGGCTAAGAAAAAATTGTTTCTAGCACGACTGAGCAATTGTTTCTAGCAAGAAGATACCAAACATGTAGTGTATGGTTTACTAATAATCACAGTAATCCTGCCTCAGTGAAAATGAGAGTTGCTCAGTCATGTCCAACTCTTTGCGACCCCATGGACTATACAGTCCATGGAATTCTCCAGACCAGAACACTGGAGTGGGTAGTCTTTCCCTTCTCCAGGGGATCGTCCCAACCCAGGGATTGAACCCAGGTCTCCTGCGTTGCAGGCGGATTCTTCACCAGCTGAGCCACCAGGGAAGTCTGACTCAAGGATAGCCTTTTATTACGTTTTAAACTTTCCAATAATGTCAGGGTTTTCCAGCTGGTTGATCTGTTAAAAGAGTTTAACAGCCTTGGCTTTAGACTTTCTGTAACAAAACCACCTTTGCCCAGTTAAGTACAGGAAGTTGATTAGCCAATACACTTGCTCTGAACACAGCGAACCAAATGAGGCCAATGGTTAATCTCTATAAAGCAAAACAAACATGAGGCTTATGTGTCAGTTTTATTTTCTATCTTTTGGATCCTTACACAACTTCCAAAAAGGGCAAATGTCATCTCTTCTAAACCTGGGAAAATGAGGCCCAGAATACTTAAGTGCCTAGTTTATTTGGTATAGAGCTGATTACTGGCAGAGCTAACACACTGAACTGATAATTACTTTAGCACAGGGGTCAGCACATTTTTCTTGAAATGGCTGGAAAATAAATACACTTTTTACCTGCATGTTTCTAAAGAATATTTATCTTGCTATTTCTTGATGTTTCGAGCCTACATAGTAGGCACTTATATAACCAGGTAAAATGTTAACTATTTTAAAATGTAAAATACATTCTTAGCCTGCAAATTGTGAAGAGACAGGCATCTGGTCAGCAGGAGTCTGTTGCCCTTGTTTTAGAGGAACGGCCTTACCTACACACTGAGACAGCTTACAAATTCAACAAATTTCTGCACTATTTAACTTAAATTGTTTAAAAAAAATTCTCTTTAAAACTGTGATAAAATACACATAACATAAAATTTACCATTATTAAGTGTACACTTCAGTAGCATTAAGTATACTGACACTGGACTACCATCATCCATTTTCTTTCCTTAATGATTTAGGCTGACTCTAGACTAAAGGAATACTTAAACTCTTTTCCAAATCCTTGAATCTGGGAGTTTTTTAATAAATTCCTGCCACACAAAATTCTGTGCTTTGTCTTAAGTGGAGTCTAAACCAGAAATCAATAAAAGACACTGCTTTGCCTCTGTCAGCAATTTTGATGTGCTGAGTTAAACTAGTCAGCCAGGAACTAGGAACCAATGTTGGAATTCTGGGTCAGCAGATTATTTACCTCTTCTGTGTTCCACAGTTGCAATGGAAACTGAAATCTGAAAAACTGAAATCTACTTGTCACCTGACAAAGAATTAATGAATATTCTTTTTTGCTTTTTCTCTTCTGAGCCATGAGCATTCTCTTCCATAATTTATGTTGGAGATGTCCCAGGCTGGGTTAAAGATGCTATTCCTGCAAGGAAGTCCTGGACACAGAAAGCTAGGTTTTCATTTTTTTCCTGTGATAATCCCAAGTATTCAGCCTTCCCCTTTGTATCTTTAAAATATGATGTGTCTTAAATGAGGTGTAAGGCTGCCCCCAACACAGGAAATGCTGTAATGGCTGACCCTGAGTAAGAAAATAGGGACTGGTGAGGACTGAGCTGAAGCTTCAGTGTCTATTCACTGGGGTAGCAGCTCCCCCAATTCAGCTCCTACCATTTGCAACCATATACAACATGAGCTCTTTGTCTTCCACTTTTGCAAAAGAAGCTAAAATTTCCAGATTTTTGTGTGAAATCTCCTGTTCCTTAAATTTTACTTTGATCTTTCATAAACAGAGTTTGGGCCGATTAAACACTTGCTGGCTGAGTGCCACCCTTGTGGTGCCAATTAAGGTTTTAAACTCCTTTGTCTGACCCCAAAGATTTTCAGTGTGAAAGTATTTTTAGGTTTTTAACAAGGTTCTTCTATGCCAACATTTTTGTGTACATAAAAGATATTTACTGTCTTATTGTACCGAGGAGCTCTGTTGATGTGTATAAGAACATGCACATGTTGCAAGAAGTCTTGTGAGATCTTAGGGATATAATTCCAAATGTTATCCATTTTCAATATTAAAAAAGCCTCTTGCTCTCAGATATACCATGAAATTTTAGATTTTATAATCCTGTAAGAGAGGCTTCTCTCTCATTTCTAGTAAAAATGAGGCAAAAATGCTACTTGATGTTGGTGATGGAGGAATTACGTAAGAACAAAAATTACTTAGTTAATCAAGTGTCTGAAGCATAATAAAGCATCAAACAAAAGTACTTTTCAGAGGCTTGAGTACAGAACATAGAGGCAATTATGGCATAACTTTAGGCAATTTAAAACAGAAATGTGAGAAAAATCTGGGACTCACTAGTTTTATGATCTTTTGAAAAAGAACATCTTAATAATGTGCTCATCTATAAAACTGGGGTGTTATGATTATCACTTCACAGAGTTTAACAAGTTATATTAAGTGGTTATTACTGAGAATATAACCATAACTCAGCAAATGTTCATTTCTTTTCCATCTTAGAGGACAATTTTGGTATTTGATCTTCATCCAAGTAATTTTGATTCAACTCTTAGGATTTATTCCACTCCTGTACATAACAGCATCATGCACCATAGCCAAAGGCAGAAGCAACCCAAGTGTGCACTGACAGATGAATGAACAAAATGTGGTATATACGTACGATGGAGTATTATTCAGCCTTAAAAAGGAAGGAAATTCTGATACATACTATACTGTTGAGAACATTATGCTAAATGAAATAAGCCAGTCACAAAAAGAAAAACACTACATGACTTCACTTCCATTAGGTACCTCAAGGAATCAAATTCATAGAAAGTAGAATGGTGGTTGCCAGGGGCTGTAGAAGGGGGAAAGACAGAGTTGTTTAGTGGGCAGAGTTTCAGTTTTATAAGATGAAGAAAAGTTCTGCAGTTGCATAATAATGTTAATATTCTTAACATAATTGAACTGTACATTTAAACAGTTTGGATGGTCAATTTCATGTGTATTTTACAAAAATTAAAAAATAAAATCACAAACCGTGAGATATCAAAGAACACTATACCAAAAAAAAAAATTCTTTTAAAAACTATAGTATGGCCAAAAAGCATACTATATTGAGACAGTTTCACCATTTAATGGTACCTACCTGTACATTTATACAACATGCCTGTCATGGTTCCAGCTGCTACTGTGTTAAGGTCATCTTCTGCACCTCTTGTTTTCTCAATGATGACACCAAATGCACTATAAAGCAAAGCTACAAGGGAAATGGAACTGATCAGTAATAAAAAGTGAACTGAAAGTCAGTATGGCAATTATATTTAGATAAATGCATTCTACAGACATCATGAGACATATAAACAATGATCACTGGAACACTGTTTGTAATAACAAAAGCCTAGCAACAAATCAAATGACTTTCAAGAGGGGACTGATCCAGAGAGACTTTCCACATAATGGAATACTATTGCACTCAAAATGCAGGAAAAGCTCTGTTCACTAACACGTAAAGCAGGCACATGTATGTATGACTCTGGATAGGCAAAGAAAATGTTTGGAGAGAAAAGAAATTTATTAGCTATTTATGGAAAGTAACACCGCGGAGACCCAGGAAGAATATCTTTTTCACTTCCATTTATTTGTTAGCAGCTGTACTTAGAATTTAGAAACAAAAGCAAAACACATGTATTTCTATTTTAAGAAAAATATGACTTCAAGACAATTGAGATTTAGTTTCTGCACATGTAAAAACTCTTAATAGTACTATTTAGTTTTAACAAGCTTTTCCCCTAAATCGCCATTCTCTTATGCCTATGAAGACCAAACAGCCATGAATGCATTACCTCTTCTCCTGTCCTTTCTCAAAATTACATCAAACTCAGCCTCGCAACTCCTCTGCTGTAAGCTGTTATACTTCTACAAAGGCTCTTCTTCCAGTTTCAATTTATCTAATGAAACTAAACTTGAGCAAAACAACATAACTGATCAGATTATAAGGAAAACATACAGGGTAACTGACCATTCCAGCTTGCTCAGAACTGATATTTCTGGAACATTAACTAAACCGAGAATGTCCAGGGGCTCACTCTAGGTATGCAAGCAATCTCACAAGTATCAATACAAAGGAGGCTGACTGCAAGGAGGAGGGGTATTGGGGGCACAAGCAGCATATGGAAGTAGCCATTTACTAGGATCCCAAATGCAAATCTGACTTTGTAAGTGTGAACATGTATTGCTTCCAAAGCCTATGACAAGGCTAGGATCTCTATCATACAAGATGCTTTTCTTATCTTTTGACAAGCTACCTACATTTTCTCTTATTTAATCTGCCACCAGTTAAAGACTTTCAGATAAAGAAAACTTTGGTTAAGAGCATAAGTGCCATAAGTAAGCTTCTTATATAAGTCATGAATAATCAAAAGAGTCAATCATTCATAAACATTACAGTATGAAAGCATTTGTTCCTAAGTACTACTAAGTTATACCTTCCTGAGAACTGCAAATATTTCCAATATCTACAAAGGCCCTATTGCAACTCAGGCAATTAGTCTGGGAAATCTCATTCGTAAACAGGATGATGAATGGGCTATTAGGAAAACACACCAGGAGGCCTGGATTCCTCATCATATCTACTATAGAACCTTGAACTTTTCCTAACACACAAAAACATTTGCCTTGGCACTAAACTATCTGGATTTCACTGAGTTAAAATATGATTTTATTTGGTGTCTTGAAGGGATAGGAGAGTATGCAGTGTTTAAAATATTTAGAAAAGAGTATATTCACAATGGTATTAGTACCTGGCATTATTTTGCTATATATTAACAGTTTATGATCTTTTCCTAAGTAGTATTTACACTACTCACCAGAGTGGATTTAAACATAATTATGAACATCCCAGCACCAGAATTTTAGTTGATCAAATTGTTCATGATACATGTACATTCTTTCTTTGCAATGATAATGATTTATTAAAAAGTGAGGTATCTACTTACCCAGAGAACCTAGGGTATTAGCCCAAAGTGCCCCTTGCCTAGTCACCATATTCAAGATCCTACCAGGGCAGAAAGAGAAAGAATCTGTATTTAGAATCAGTATTTCTTTAGTATTTAGAAAAACCATATAACAGCAATTTTAAATGTATAAACACACACCCAAAGTTTTCTTATTTTATTTTTTTAATTTTAAAACTTAACAGAGGGCAACTGGAATTCAGTAAGGATTGCTTTTACTTTACATAAATGAAGGTTAGGTTAAAAACTCCCAATGTTTTAGGGCAATGTGCAAAGAAAATTCTAATTACTAAATACATAAAATTATTAAATATATAAAATATATATCCTGGAATGTATCTTACAAAGAAGTTTACAGAAACTGATCTATGTTAAAAAGAAAAAGATATTATAACAGACAAACTAGCTGATAATTAGTTTCTTATGTGTGTTTGTGGGGGTAATATATTCTTAGAATATTAAGAAGAATCAAAGTGTGGACTACTATGGAATACAAAGCAAAATAAAAGACAAATACTCAAAGAGAAGAAAAAAGCCACCTAATTAGAATACCTGAAGAAAGTGTACACTGTGTTTGCTTCCAGACTAGAACTAAGCAGCCAAAGTGAATGCTTAGCACACTCTCAAGGAAGCACAGCTCTGCCCTCACCAGTGCCAGACGCCACCAGAACAGTGATGAAGGCAACTGGAGAAGAAGACAGAACATTTCTCTCCCAGCAGTGTAACACTGTTACAGGAATGGTTCTGCCCCAACAGCTGACTACTGCTGGGAACCACCGAATTACAATAACAAGCAGTAAAAGAACCCATTTAAATTAATGCTCAGTAATAACAAAATTTTCTATTACTTCTAAAGGATTATTTAAAAAATTAGTAATGATTACAAATATTATTAAATAATTGCTACATATTTACCAATATGTTAAGTTTAGCACTTAATTGTTTTTCATTTGTGATGAGCTTCTAAAACTATTAATTTTCATTACTGTATTGCTGGTGGCACTGCAAAGTGGCAAAGTTCTTTGCAACATGATTGGGTAACATACTTTCATTTACTGGGTCCTTACCTACTTCCCACTGTAATCATGTCTCAATAGATTAAAGGCAGAAAGTAGGGAAACTTACCCAAGATCCCAATAAGTAATGAAACTGGGCTTTGAAACTACATAGATCTTTTCTGGCCTGAAACCTGATTATCTTTCTATTTTTTAAATGCTGCTGCTGCTGCTAAGTTGCTTTAGTCGTGTCCGACTCTGTGCGACTCCACAGACGGCAGCCCACCAGGCTCCTCTGTCCCTGGAATTCTCCAGGCAAGAACACTGGAGTGGGTTGCCATTTCCTTCTCCAATGCATGAAAGTGAAAAGTGAAAGTGAAGTTGCTCAGTCCTGCCCAACTCTTAATGACCCCATGGACTGCAGTCTATCAGGCTCCTCTGTCCATGGGATTTTCCAGACAAGAATATTGGAGTGGGGTGCCATTGCCTTCTCCATTTTAAATGCTATCTCTATCTAAAAAATCAGAATGAGTATATAAAAAAAATGATGTATAAGATTTAAAAAATCTGACTTTAAAAAAGCAAACTAATTCAACTCTCAAAAATTTAATAACTATGATGGTTTTAAGAAACAAAGGTTATCTTTTCTAAGAGACCTTGCAAATTGATATTTAATAATATGAAGCTGGGGATTTGTTTCAAAAAAATATGGGAGGGAAAAAAGAGATGGGACACAATTGGTCCTGGTGCTGGTTAATGGTTGTTGAACTTGGGTTACGGTTCATAGCTGTTCACTGTACTATTGTCTACTCTTGTAGATATTCAAAACTATCCATAATACAAAAGGTAAAAAAAACAAACCTGGAGTAAAGAATGAATATTACGAATATAAATACAAAAATATTCAAGGATTTGAGCTTGTAAAGCAAGGGCAGTAATCCATACAGTAACAGGAAGGTGAAAAGTTTGACAGGCCTTCAGGCTTCCCAAGATCTAATTCTAACACACCTGCTGCCATCTGCTGGCTAAGGAAAAGGAGCTTAAAGACAGACATGAGCTACTGAAGAATACATACTGTGTCCTTCCACTCATATGAAGCATAAAAATACGCTTAAGAAAAAAAACACAACTAAATAACGTATTATTTAAGGAACAGCAAAAGGAACTGGTCATGTTTATTTCTTAAGCAGGGTGAAGATACACATAATGTACACTTTCTGACTTTTTTATTTGCACTTTCCCTTCTCTACAGTTTCCTAAGATAAGACTATCTTACTCCTTTCAGAACTACCTCTAAGCTCTAGGAATTTCATGGAAATGTTCTGCACCTTTGCATTTCAGAAATGGAGGGTGAAGTCAATGAGAAATTCAAATGACAGCAGATTTAATAATTACTCTTATGTGCTTATTTCTTCACTTACCATGTCCTATGGTTTTGCACAGCCCTGAACAATCCAAATAATGTACTAGTAATTCAACAATTTGAAAAGCATGTAATATAGGCCTGCAAAATAGAACAGGTGTAGCTGAGAAGTTAGGTTGGAACAGCCCCAGCTGATGGGACACTGATTCAAAAATCACTCCTAAAAGCTTAGACCCAGCAACTTGATTCCTAAATTCCTTTTATAATGAATAAGGGGAAAACACCAGCAAAAAAATTGACCAAAAATTATACAGTACTCTAAATATTGTAATCTCAAGGTTGTGCTCATCAAGCCAACAAAGTAGAGATTAATACTCAAACATCAGTATGTCATTACATGAGACTTACTGTACATTTCTTGGTTTGGACCAGGCCATGTTCTGGGTTTCCTTCAGTCCTAGCCGTAGACCATTCATTGCCCCAAATGCAGCCCCTGGCAAATCATAGTAATAATTCATTCAAATAATCAGCTTTATATTAAAGAGCAATTATACTTGATTCTTTCTATTTTAATAAGAAAAAAATGTAAATAATGATTTTTTAAAAAACCACCCTGAAGCTATTATTTTAATTGCCTTGGATTTTAAGCACTTTTGACTGCTTGGATTTAGGACACTTAAAAACCATATATACAATGTATGACAAAAACCACTGAAATGTTGTAAAATAATTAGCCTCCAACTAATTAAAAAAAATGGGAAAAAAAAACCATAGATAAATACCAACCTGTCATACAACATCCTCCAATGGTAAAGAAGGCCAGCTCAAATCTACCCCGGGTTTTATTAGCTCCAGTTGGTAAAATAAACTCATCTGTATCCTAAAGGGATAATAATGAAAATCAAGTTCAGTTCCCCTCAACACACGTATACTACTTGCAAAGTGTTTAATTTTTTAAAGGAGTTTTTCACAGCATGTAAAACATAAATTAAGTAAAACTCCACTATACTTCGTCAAACAAAGATAAAACTTTCTGCAACAAAAGCAACATCTAAACCGAAGTGAAATGAAATACATAACAATATACAGTTATGCTCATTAGTTCTTAGGAGAAATTCTTGCTCAGAATTTAGCTTCTCAACGTAAGTTTGATAGATTATACGTAATTTGTCTTCACGATAAATCTGGCAATTTAAGAGTACCATCTCTATAGAAAGGCAAACTGAAAGCTATGAGAGGTAACAAAAAACCAGTCTGGAAGGAGAAAATAACTCATTCTGTAGCTATTAATACTATTTATCAACCACCATTTTACTATATGTAAGACCAAATGATCATAAAAAACGAGGAGAAACTATAGAAGTAAAATAGACTGGATCACTTACACAAGGGCAAAAACACCACTTTAACAGTTCTTAACTGTTTGGAGGGCATATATTCCTTTTATACTCTCGGAAAGCTACTAGAAGGAAAGCTACCCTTCTTCTAGTAAATGCATACACAAAATCTGTTATGAACTTCCTGCCCGAATCCTAGGCTGAGAAGCATCACTGTAAGAGCACAACAGGATTGATTTTGCAATACAATATACTTTTATGAAGAACAAATACATTTCTGCCAAGCTTTCCATAGAAAAATAGCTAAAATTAGCTCCTGAACCATAGCACACACCCTTAACAAAAAATGCTAACAAATAAAACATCCCTTTGGCAAACACTGACCTTTGGTAAATGCATTCATGACTAGGAAAACTGTGCCTTTGCGGTAGTTTTGATTTCAGGCTTGTGCATGAATTCTTACCAAAAATTGTACAAATAAATAAGCACATGTACTCTTATCACACAGAAATGGTCTGCTGAGCAATGATAAACAAATCTGAATAGATTCTATGTCGAAATATATTAAACATATATTTGTAAGTTCTGAGTGCTTCCTGACTTTTCAAGTAATGACTTAGTTTTAAATTGTGCTTCTTGTTTAAGGTTTTTAGGAATGCTGTATTTAATATGATAAGGTAAATAATATGATAATTATTTATGATCCAGAAATGGATCCCAATACAAACAGGGGGAAAAAAAAAAGATGGTCATAATCAACATTAGTAGGTACAAGTGCATGTCATCACTGACTCACTCTTCAGTTAGTGAGTCAACCTTGCATTCCTGAGATATCCAATTACTCTTTGATGTTGTGTGTGTGTGCGCATTAAGTAGCTCAGTCATGTCTGACTCTCTGCGACCCATGGACTGTAGCCAGCCAGGCTCCTCTGTCCGTGGGATTCTCCAGGCAAGAATACTGGAGTGGGCTGCCATGCCCTCCTCCAGGGGATCTTCCTAACCCTCTGGCGTGTCCTGCATTGGCAGGTGGGTTCTTTACCCTTAGTGCCACCTGGGAAGCCCTTTTCATGTTGTAAACTAAGTAGTAGTTGTTGTTGTTTTGCAACTTTGTGTTGAATCAGCAACTTCTCCAACCACCCCCCCCCAAATCAAAACCCCAAACAAAAAATCAAACCCCCACAATAACAAACAACAAAAAACTGAGGCTAATACAAACCTTAAAATGTATAACCCCTAATTTCAAATGTTTGTATTCATCAGACCACTCTTATTTCCACAGCCTTCTGAATAATAACAACCTGATCTAATAAAATAAACTCAGGTAGTAAAAAATTTTTTTTTCACATGTACTGATTTGGTTTAAGATTTCATTAAAAAGATTCCCACTTTATTTAATGATCTCTTATAACTTTGTAACTTCTCACACAATATTTTTTATGGGGTTCAAAAAACTAATTACTTGTTGCTTTTACATATAAATCTTTAATTTGTGCTCTGATCTCTGCTCCTGATTACAGAAGTGCATACAAAGAAGCAGGCAGCCGTTGCTGTTGTACCCTCCCCACCCCTACTTATTCCCAGGGTTTTGAAAAAAAAGCTGGGAGCTGGTCCCCTTATTGTTTCCTCCTTCAGGAACTAGATATTAAAGACTAGAACATTCAAAAGCAATTTTATCTAAAGGGAAAATTAGAAAGAGACAACACACATCCAGGAAAAAAGTGTAGGCTCTGAAAAGAACAGAGAAGAGCTTAAGTTTATATACTTCAGGTTGGTCCTCAACACAAAGATAGCCTGTGTGATTAAAAAACCAAAAACAATAACCAAATAAAAGCAAACCCTCAGGGAAGGCAGGAGAATCTGATCTCTAGAGTTAACCACATTATTAGAAATGTCTGGTTTTCAACAACAACAAAAAATCACAAGCCATACAAAGAAATAGGAAAGTATGGGCCATTCAATGAAAAAAAAAAATCAACAGAAATGTTCCTGAAAAACACCTGATGGTAGATTGACTAGGCTTTAAAAGAAAAGCCTAGATCTAAATGACTTTAAAATAATCATCATAAAGGTGCTCAAAGACCTAAAGAAGATGTGGAGAAAGTCAAGACAATGTATGAACAAAATAGAAACAGAAAGAAAACCTAGAAAGAAACCAAAAATAAATTCTGAAACTGAAAAGAACAACAGCTGGTAAATTCACTAAATGGATTCAAAGATTTGAGCAGGTAGAACAGACAATCACCAATTGTAAGACAATAGAAATTACTGAGTCTTAGGATCAGGAGGAAATATAACTGAATAGAAGTGAACAGAGAGCCGAAAGGATCTGTGTGATGTCGCAAAGCAGACTAAAATACAGACTGTGAGAGTCACAGAAGGAAAATGTTAAAAGAAACAATGGCTGAAAACTTCCGAATTTGATAGAAGAGATGCAAGTGAACATTCAAGAAACTCAATAAACACCAAGTAAGATATATTCAGAGAGACCCATACTGGGATGTATTAAAATCAAAAGTTTTGAAAGTTACACAGAGAGATTCTTGAATGTAGCAAGAGAGAAACAACTTACATATAAGGATCCTCAATAAGATTATCAGTCAATTTCTCAAGAGAAACTTTGGAGGCCACAAGGAAGTGGGCTGATGTATAAAACTGTCCTTTAAAAATAAAGGAGATATTAAAAATTCCCAGAAAAATAAAAGCTGAGCGAGTTTGTGACCATTGGACCTGCCCTGCAAGATATGATGAAGGGAGTCCTGCAAAGTACAATCAAAGAACACTAGACAGGAACTCATAGCCTGATGAAGGGACAAAGAGTGTAATAAAAGCAAATAAATGGACAATTATGAAAGTACTACTGTAGCTTATGTTTTTGACTCCCCCTTTGTATTTCTATATAACTTTACATTTTAAAGGATTTAGAAGAATTATTAGATTATGTTTTTGAGCACATGATGTATAAAGATACAATTCTCTGACATCAACAATTGAGAGGGGCAGGGACAGTTGGTAAAGGAGCAGTATTTTTGAATGTTGCTAAAGTTAAACTGGTATAAATTCAAATTAGTGTTATAACTTTAGAAAACTGCTATAAACAACCAAAAAAAAAAAAAAGGTTATGAGAAAGGAATTTAACCAATTCCCTACAGAAAAAATCAAACACAAAAGAAGTTATTAATGTAAGAAGAGAGAGACAAAAAATTAGGTTACAGAAAATGAAGAGCAAAACACCAAAAATCTCTCCTTAGCAGTAACCACTTTAAAGTGTATTCAACACTCTGGATAAAAGACAGAGATTAGCGCAATGCACTCAGAAATGTGATCCATTTATACATATGGTGCCTACAACAAATTCACTTTACTTCCAAAGACACAAAAAGATTGAAAGTGAAAGGATGGAAAAAGATATTCTATGCAAATAATAACCACAAGAACAGGGTGGCTATATTAACATTAGAAAATAAAAGGTTTATAAGAAACTGATATTACATCAATAAAGTTTCAATACAGCAAGAAAATACGATTATAAACATTTACTTATCTAGTAACAGACCATCAAAATATATTAACCAAAGTGTCAGTCCGTCAGTTAGTCATGTCCGAATCTTTATGATCCTATGGACTGTGGCCCACCAGGCTCCTCTGTCCTTGGATTTCCCAGGCAAGAATACTGGAGTGGATTGCCATTTCCTTCTCCAAGGGATCTTCCTATCCCAGGGACTGAACTCGCATCTCTTGCATTGGCAGGCAGATTCTTTACTGCTGAGCCATCAGGGAAGACCCCATAATAAAGATCAGAGCAGAGATAAATAAATTACTGAAATCAGAAATGAAGGTGAGGATATCACTACTGATTCTAAAGAATTAAAAAGGATTATAAGAAACTGTCATTAACAACTGTATGCCAACAAACTGAATGTCCTTGATGAAATGTACAAATTCCTAGAAATACAAAACCAAACAAAGACACTACAAAAAAACTACAGACCAAAATCCCCTATGAACACTGATGCAAAATCTTAAACAAAATTCTAGGAAACCAAATCCAGCAGCATATTCAAAGGGTTATACATCATGACCAAGTGGCACTTATTCCTGGGATGCAGGATGTCCTAATAAATGAAAACTCATCAATGTAATACACCATATTAACAGAATGAAGGGGGAAGAAAAAACCCACATGATCACCTCAATTGATGCAGAAATAATATTTGACAAAATCCAACATACTTTCAGGATAAAAACTCAACAAACTAGGAACAAAAGGAAACTACCTCAATATAATAAAAGGCATACATGAAAAACTCACAGCAAATACCACATCCAAAGGTGAAAGACTCAAAAGATTTTCCTCTAATACACATGAACAAGGCAAAGATGCTCATTTTTTTTTTTTGGGGTCACTTCTATTCAACACAGTATTAGGATTTCTAGCCAGAGCAATTAGGAAAGAAGAATGAAAAGGCACCCAAATTAGAGAGAAAGAAGTAAAAATTTTTTTTCATAGATGATCTTATATGTAGAAAATTCTAAAGACTACACAAAAAACCCTGTTATAACTAATAAATAAATTCAGCAAAGTAACAGGATACAAAGACAACAGAAAAAGCAGATGCATGTCTACAAACTAACAATAAACAATCCGAAAAGGAAATTATGAAAACAATTCCACTTACAACAGAATCAAAAAGAATAAAAATACTTAGGAATTAATTTAACCAAGGAGGTAAAAGTCGTGTACAAAGAAAGCTGTAAAACTTGCTGTAAGTAATTTTAAAAGACAGAAAGAAATGAAAACATATCCCATATTCATGAATCAGACTTAATATTGCTAAGATGTCAATATTACCCAAAACAATCTACAAATTCAATAATTCCTATCCTATCAAAACAAGAACTGACATTTTTGCAAAAACAGAGGAACCCATTTCAAAGGTCATACGGAATTTGAACAAACTCCAAAGAATCAAAACAACCTTGAAAAATGAAGAACAATCCTGAAGGACTCACACTTGCTGATATCAAAACTTACCAAAGCTACAATAATCAATAAGCCTGAATGTATGCTGGTGTGGTACTAGTATACATACAGACATGCAGATCAACGAAATAGAATAGAGTCCAGAAATAAACCTTTGCACATATGGTCAAATGATTTTTGGCTAGAATATTAAGGGCATTACACAGGGAAATGACAGTCTTTTGAGCAAATGGTACTGTAAAAACTGGATAGCCATATGAAAAAGAGTGAAGTTGGATCTTTACCTAACATCATATACAAAAATTAACTCAAAATGGATCAAAAACTTAAATGGAAGACCCAAAACTGTAAAACTCTTAGAATGGAATGTAAAATAGTACAGCTGCAGTGGAAAACAGTATAGCAGTTTCTCAAAAAATAAAAAATATATTACCATATGATATGACAATTCTACTTTTGGATATATAATCAAAAGAATCGAAATGAGGATCTGGAAAAGGTATTTATACACCAAAATTCACAGTGGCACTATTCACCATAACTGAAACATGGAAGCAATCCGAGTGTCCACAGGACGCGTGAATGGATAAGCAAAGGGGATATTATGCAGCCTTAAAAAGGAAGGAGATTCTGGCACAGACTACAATACATATGAGCCTTCAGGACATTATGCTAAATGAATTAAATCAGTCACAAAAAAAATAAATACTGTACGATTCCACTTATTTGAGGTACTCAAGAGTATTCAAAAATCGTAACACAGAAAGCAGAAGGGTGGTTGTCAGGAACGGGGAAGAGGATGGAGAAAGGAGTTACTGTTTAATGGGTACAGAGTTTCAGTTTTACAACATGAAAAGCATGGAACTGGTAGGTGGTAATAGCTATACAGTATTAGGAATGCAACCACTAAACAGTACAGTTAGAGATGGTAAATTTTGTTAATTTCATCACAACCTTAAAAAAAAAAAACCCCAAAAAACAGCCAAACCCACAAATCCTTTAATCAACTACTGCCAGGAAGAGATGCAAGGCAAATCCCTATAGTTTGTGGGGGGAAAAGGGTGAATGAGGACCAGAGACCTGATGCCTCTAGAAGCACATATCACAGATCAACTCAACGTAGGTACCTGCGGTTATTTTTTTTAAATGGTAAAGTAGAGGACCAGACTAATAAAATTCTTACCTGTACGAGATACCGTGGATCCACATTTAAATAAGGAGACAGAGGGTTCATACCAGTTACTAGAGAGAAAACAAAGAAATATACTGCAATAAAAATTTAATTATTTCATTTAGCATTAATTTTGCTCTTGATTCTTCAATGTGTTCTGCAATTCTGACTTACAATGCATGGCAATTTTTCTCCCACTTTCCTTGTCTTATCCTTCCTGTCTGGCAGTTTAGGGGCTGACTCCTCCTGGCGCCCTCAATCCTGCACTGGTGTTTCAGGCTCTCATGTCAAGACAATGGCAGTAACATGGACCAAATAACTGAAGTAGCAGGAAGCACAGCCCAGTTCAACTATAAAGCTAATTTCCTTCTACTTAACTACAAAAATACCTGACAATTTTGTGTGTGTGTGTGTGTGTGTGTGTGTTAGTTGCTCAGTCGTGTCCGTCTCTCTGTGATCCAATGGACTGTAGCCCGCCAGGCTCCTCTGTCCATGAATTCTCCGTGCAAGAATACTAGAGTGAGGTGCCATTCCCTTCTCCAGGGGATCTTCCTGACCCAGGGATCAAACCCGGGTCTCCTGCACTGCACGCAGACTCTTTACTGTCTGAGCTTATACAGATTGCAAAGTAAGACTGACAAGAGACAAATCAATTTCATGAAGGGGAAAAAAAAATCATTTGGGTTATGTGTTGTGTATAAATATTTTAAGGCAATTCCTTCAGATCTAAGTGTTGACAGTTGCTGACAAAGTTGATTTATATAATAGAGAATTCTAGGTCATCACCAGAAGGATGGGGGTCAGGACAAAAGAAAATGGGAGCTCTCTGAGGGCCAGACTTGAATTCTACTACCTTTGAAGACAGAAAAATTTATCAAGGAAAAATCAACTTCCTCACATTTTAAATTTAATCTTTGGATCCTCTGTATCTCAGATGACTGTTAATCTATCCATTACTCAGAACTCTGGTCTTTTCATCAATTCAAAGTCCTATTTGTTCTATATCCAGTATCTTTCTTGAATTTTTATTTACCATCTTTATTGCTATCATCCTAGTCCAATCACTACCTAATTGGACTCCTTACTTGCTCCAATCTCTCCAACTCACTTTCTTAATGGGTAATTAAAGTGATTTTTTTCAGAAAAGGAAATCAATCTAAATGGCTTCCATTTACTCTTGTAACTAAGTCCAAACTCCTTATAAAACACTTCATTAGCTGCCATTTCTTCCCCTCTAATCTCAGTATCTCCAGCCTCACCACCTCCCTTGTAGATTGTAGACACAATGGCCTAACAGCTGTTCCTTAAACACTTACCTCCCCTCAGACATTTGAATGGTATTCAGGTCACAGCTCAAATGTCAACAATCCTGAGTAGTTTTTCCTGGGACATTTTTAAATGGCTTCAGCTCCCATTTGGAAAAGGAAATGGCAACCCACTCCAGTGTTCTTGCCTGGAGAATCCCAGGGATGGGAGAGCCTGGTGCGCTACCATCAATGGGGTCGCACAGAATCGGACACGACTGAAGTGACTTAGCAACAGCTCCCATCACCATCTCAAAATCCTATTTGCCTTTACACACTTAGCACTAACTGAAACACTTTACTTACTTACTTGGCTCACTTCAATGGAATGGAAGCTCTGTGAAAACATCAGTCATTTTAAAAAATATAACTGCTGAAGTCCTGCACCCAGAAAACTCCATCTCAAGTACTCAATGAATAGTGTTTACTCCTTGATCTCTTAATTCACCTTGAAATCTTAATGTAACAATACCTTTTCACATTAAGGCAGTGCCCTTTGTGCTCTGAAACTCATCAACTAGCCATATTCTATAACTTATTATATGCAAACTGTGTTCTAGATTCAGTTTTGACACAGGTGACACTAGGAACTTTAAAAGCCGTTTTTGTTTTTGAGCATAAAAGACCTAAAGAAGAGTAGAAAGATTCTCAAGATAAAACAGTTTTATAAAGCTCTTATCGTTCACCAACTTCCCATTATCTTTAAGTCCACATTTTACTCATCCAGGTGAATACCCAGTTAGAAAGTTCCAAAGATCTGGAATAGATATTCGTGGTTATTTAGGAGAGGGCGTAGGCAGGGTATTCGTGCCTCGGCACCCTATAACTTGAATGTTTCCTTTCCTAAAATTCTTTCTTGGCTTCTTTTTCATATCTATAGAAAAGTTCAGTTCTCCTCTAGTTTCTCCACTTGTCTCGACGCATATTTCTTTTTCACCTGTATGCATTATTATTGGGTGTTTTGCCCTGAGGGCTACTACTTCGTGGTTTAGAATATGTGACTTTGTGTTAAAAAGTTACCATGGGCTCGACATGTGGGAGGAACTTATCGTTGATAAGGCAGAAAGCCTGAATATAAAAGGAAAAAAACATGCAGTATCTCCTGGATCCAAGTCAGCCAGAGAGCTGCTCCGGACCCCCGGCTCCAAACACTCGTTCAGTGTTGGAAAATGCAGCCGTGCGACATACTAGCCCCACTACTGGTACTTACACTTGTGACCGCAGCCAAAAAAAAAAAGAGAACAGGAGACACAGCACGTGTGGGGTGGTGGCAAGAACCAGTGGGAAATGTTCGCAGGCTAGGCCTGATACTTACGCGGGACTCCAGCCAAATCCGCGTGCGAGTAGCCTGCTCCGCCGGCTCCGAAAAAGCCGGCCAACCCTCCAGTGGTTTTGTTGCCACTACCCCCGCCGCCCTCCATGGTGTCGCAGCAATCTGCCCGTCTGCTTCTCCCCGCCGCCTCAGGCCGAGATAGTCTGCTCGGCCGTCGCTCCTCGGTAACAGCGGGGAGACCCGCGTTACCACCGGCTCCTTCACACGCTGACCTTCCGGGCGCCGGTGTTAGCTAAATCTCACACTTCCGGTTTGCGACAGCGTACGTCCCGGAAGCCGGAAGCACCTGACGGCAGCTTTCCGGTGGTGGGAAAGTGAACGAAGCCAGAATTAGAACGGCTCATTCTGAGGCTGGTAGGGTGCCGGTGGAAGAGGGAAGGCAGGCGTCTGGATAGGGCCTGGTTCGGGAGGCTGTCAGAGCAGGAGCTGCAGAAGCAGTCAGCGGCAGAGGGGGCATGGTGCCGGGAGGCACCGAGGAGGGGGCGCAGTCCGTCCCTCCCAGGGTTACTGAATGAGGCTCTACGCCCGGGCTGGCCCGGAGACTCAGTGCTGCGGGTCCCAGCATGAGTGCGGGCCCCGGCTGTGAGCCCTTCACCAAGCGACCGCGCTGGGACGCCGCTGCAACTTCTCTGCCGGCCGCCTCGGACGCCCGGAGCTTCCCCGGCAGGCAGAGGCGCGTCCTCGATTCCAAGGACGCTCCAGTGCACTTCAGGGTCCCGTCGTCCTCGTCAGGCTTCGTCCCGGGCCGGGCGGGACAGCACCGAGGCAGCGCCACCTCTCTTGGTACGTGGGGAAATAAAGCTCTTTGTCCTCGGCCCAAACCTCTTTTTGGTCTGTCTCAGGAGCCAGGGACTCCAGCACCTTCCTCCCCCCTTTCTAGTCTTGTGTACACCACTGAACTCTGAGGTCCCCTTGCTAAGCCCCCAAGGCCACTGGGCGTATAGAGTCGCATTTTTCCCACGGCGATCGGTGGTGTGAGAAACCTTGATGAGCAGTCAAGGGCGGGAAGTGGTAAGATACTCCACCTGTTTGCTTTCTTCGGGTTTGAGTAATTGCTTTAGTCGTTGCTGCTGCTGTTAAGGAAGTTTGTGGATGTGAAGCTTCAGCCTCTAGATGTAAAGAAAGCTACAAAAAAAATCATAGCTTATCTCAATTTAGATTCTTAGTGCCTGGATGCAGAGCAGTTAGTCTTAGCTGGCATTAAACTTGGCTCTGGCAATGTTGAACAAAAGTTACTTAGTCTCTGTGTTCAGACCCTAAAGTCTATCAGGAGAGATGGACGATTACGGAAGTCAACATAATAAAGGGTAATGGATGTTCCAGTTCATAAGGGAACAGAACATAATTGTAGAGTCAGGTGTACCTAATCAGTTTGTAGGCTCAAAGATAATCTCCCAGCCAGAAGATAAGAATTTTATTCTGAAGACTGAAGAGTGATGAGGGGTTAGCTAGATGAAGAGAAGTTAATGAAGTGATTCCAGAGTGCTGCTGATGAATATTGTGGACAGGGGAGAGTAGTGAGAGTTGTGGTTGCAGAGAGAGAGGCAAAGATCTGGTCATACTGGGCATGCTGAGGGTTTTGAGCTTTATTTCTAAGGGCAATAAGAAACTATTAAAAGGCTTCAATAGGGGAGTGACTTGATTGGCTATATATTTTTTAAATATATATTTATTAAAATATACATATTTTAAAGATCCTTGTCGCTAGTGTGTGGAAAATGAAGAATGGATTGAAAGGGAGCAGAAGTGCAGGCCCAAGACTAGTTAAGGAGTTAGTCTAGGTGGGAAATAATGATGGTTTATACCTGGTTGCAGGCAGTAGTTGGAGAAGGAAATGGCAACCCACTCCAGTATTCTTGCCTGGAGAATCCCAGGGACAGAGGAGCCTGTTGAGCTGCCGTCTGTGGGGTTGCAGAGAGTCAGACATGACTGAAGCAACTTAGCAGAAGCAGCAACAGCAGGCAGTAGTAAACGGGAAAAGTGGATGGATTTAGGAGAGAACAGGATATAAGGGTTTGTACCTCATAAGAAATATATATGAGCTGGAAATATAGATTTGTAAGTTCTTACCATATACACCATTATTGATACTTTGGAAGTAGATTAGATGGTATAAGGCATATACTGAAAAAAAAAAGGTGACCTAGGACAGAAACTTCAGGAACACTGCCATATGAGAGTAGACCAAAGGGAAGCAACCAGGGAAGTAGGAGGAAAGCCTGGCTCTTGTGTCATGCAAGGACAAGAGCATTTCAAAAAGGAAGCATTGGTCAACAGTTTAAGAGAATGGACAGAGATCAGGCCATCCTCTGATGAATGGTGTACACTTAGTTCTCTCAGGACTTACAGGCAATGGGGAAGCAGACCTCCACTGAGCAGTGAAGGATGAGCAGGATTTGATTTATAAGCCAAGGAGAGAAAAAACTATATAGGCCAAATGGCATGTACAAAAGGTGGCTTGATATGAGCACAGAATGACAAGACTGTCAGTGGAGGCTGGGAAGGGGCGGAAGAGCTTATTTATGGACAAAGTCAAGTGCCATTTCAAGGAGTCTGGACTTTATTCTGTGGTTAATGGGGAACCACTAAACGGTCAGTTTCTTTGGTGGCTCAGGTGTAAAGAATCCTGCAGTGCAGGAGACATGGGTTCAATCCCTGGGTCAGTAAGATCATTTGGAGAAGGTCATGGCAACCCACTCCAGTATTCTTGCCGGGAAAATCTCATGAACAGAAGAGCCTGGTGGGGAATGGTCCTTGGGTTGCAAAAAGTCAGACACAACTGAAGCGACCAAGCACAGGATATGACTAAAAAGCTTATAAGAAAGGGTTACAATCGTTTGGTTAATATTTTTGAAAAGCTGGCTTAGGCAGTGATCTTTGGACTTGTCTGACTGCAACCCACAGTAGATATATCTAGCAGTAGATACATCTCCTGATAAACATGTCATATTTATAGCAAATGTTTCATGAAATAAACTTACCTTTACTATGTATGAAGCATTCTCATGGTGTCTGTAATATTTAACTAAAAAATGTTGATCATTTGTAGTTTCTGGAACACTGGGTTAGAGAAAGTCAAGACCGCAGATAGGGAGACCAGTTATGAGACAAATGCAGTTGGCCCACTGAGTGATGTAACTGTTCTTGTAATATTGGTTCTCTTTTGCAGATGGGGAGAAAGAGATGGGTTTAAGATTTAGGATGTAGATTTCAGAGGGCTTGTTGAAGGAGAGTGGAAGGGAGAGGAACTGAGGGTGACCTCCAGGTACTGTGAGTCCTGTGATAGGCTAATTTGTGGTCCTGTTATAGGTCCTATAAAGGAGGAGGAGTGAGTTGGGGGGAGGCGGCTATCAATCCTTACTGATTGGATCTTCTGATTTTCTGCAGAAGAGGAACTGAATTAATACTTGGGCTGTGCTTGTGCGTGTGTGTAAATGTTTTCTGTATACCTGGCAGAGGGCACCAATGAACAAAATATTCAAAGTCTAAATTTGTATCAAAATCTGTTGTTTGAGATTTTGGAATTCTTTTAGGAACTTGGTATTTAAAATTTTTATATGTAGTTATCCTAGGAGAAGTAAGGTGGGGAAATGGATATTTATTCAGTATCTTTAAATTTTGTGTTATTTATCTGCCTGGGCATTTTTCTTTAGAAATCTGCACATCTGCATGTAGGCAGAACTCCACTTCTGATTCACATTCTGATGGGGAATCGTTTATCCAGTTGTGCTGGTATAGGAGCTTCTGTTTTCTGCCTGTTAATGGTTACCTAGAGTTTCTCTCCTCACTTCAGGGATAGGTGTAGGTCAGTGGTGGTTGGGTGGGAGACTGGAGCTATGTTGTCCCCCCATCTCCCATATCATTTTTTTAGCCCTAGTGCTGTCAAAAGCATCTTCAAACTTCTTTGCTCATCTCAAAACTTTTCCACTGTCCATTGCTGTTTGGACTCACCACACCCTTCCTTCCCATGTCTTATCGTGCTGCTGCTTGAGGAAAGAGGCTTTTTGTGAAGGTGAGGTGTTCCTTTGAGTACAATTGAATTTTTCTGCATTTTATGCCTTTTGACTGTATCTCTAGCACCTAATTGAATGATTTGCTCATTGAAAGATGCTGGTTACTGAGTGAGGTTACTGAGATTATGTGATGTGAAGTCAGAGTAAAGATGGAGAACTACTGATTTCAGTGAAAAAAGAGATTGAGTGGAAATGTTGGTATAGGATACATTTCCTGAGTTTCTTCTTTGTGAGACTGGTCACTTAGTATTTTTCTCTCATTGATCCGCATAAGCCTTGGAAATAAGTATTGTTAATCCCAGTTTATAGCCGAGCAAATAAAATCTCAAAGAAATGAAGTACATTATTACTAAGTGACTGAGCAAAGATCTCAAGTGGGCCTTAGGAAGCATCACTAGGAACAAAGCTGGTGGAAGTGATGGAATTCCAGTTGAGCTATTTAAAATCCTAAAAGATGATGCTATGAAAGTGCTGCACTCAATATGCCAGCAAATTTGGACAACTCAGCAGTGGCTACAGGACTGGAAAAGGTCAGTTTTCATTCCAGTCCCAAAGAAAGGCAGTGCCAAAGAATGCTCAAACTTCTGCACAATTGCACTCATCTCGCACGCTAGTAAGGTAATGCTCAAAATTCTCCAAGCCAGGCTTCAGCAATACGTGAACCGTGAACTTCCAGATGTTCAAGCTGGTTTTAGAAAAGGCAGAGGAACCAGAGATCAAATTACCAACATCTGTTCCATCATGGAAGAAGCAAGAGAGTTCCAGAAAAACATCTATTTCTGCTTTATTGACTATGCCAAAGCCTTTGACTGTGTGGATCACAATAAACTGTGGAAAATTCTCAAAGAGATGGGAATACCAGACCACCTGACCTGCCTCTTGAGAAATCTGTATGCAGGTCAGGAAGCAACAGTTAGAACTGGACATGGAACAACAGACTGGTTCCAAATAGGAAAAGGAGTACGTCAAGGCTGTATATTGTCACCCTGCTTGTTGAGCTTATATGCAGAGAACATCATGAGAAACACTGGGCTGGATAAAGCACGAGCTGGAATCAAGATTGCCGGGAGAAATATCAATAACCTCACATACACATATGACACCACCCTTATGGCAGAAAGTGAAGAAGAACTAAAGAACCTCTTGATGAAAGTAAAAAAAGAGAGTGAAAAAGTTGGCTTAAAACTCAGCATTCAGAAAACTGAGATCATGGCATCTGGTCCCATCACTTCATGGCAAATAGATGGGGAAACAGTGGAAACAGTAGCTGACTTTATTTTTTTGGGCTCCGAAATCACTGCAAATGGTGACTGCACCCATAAAATTAAAAGATGCTTACTCCTTGGCAGGAAAGTTATGACTAACCTAGACAGCATATTAAAAAGCAGAGACATTACTTTACCAACAAAGGTCCATCTAGTCAAGGCTATGGTTTTTCCAGTAGTCATGTATGGATGGAAGAGTTGGACTATAAAGAAAGCTGAGCGCTGAAGAATTGATGCTTTTGAACTGTGGTGTTGGAGAAGACTCTTGAGAGTCCCTTGGACTGCAAGGATATCCAACCAGTCCATCCTAAAGGAAATCAGTCCTGAATATTCACTGGAAGGACTGATGTTGAAGCTGAAACTCCAATACTTTGGCCACCTGATGCAAAGAGCTGACTCATTGGAAAGGACCCTGAGGCTGGGAAGGATTGAAGTCAGGAGAAGAAGGGGATGACAGAGGATGAGATGGTTGGATGGCATCATCGACGCAATGGACATGAGTTTGAGTAAACTCTGAGAGTTGGTGATGGACAGGGAGGCCTGGCGTGCTGCAGTCCATGGGGTCGCAAAGAGTTGGACATGACTGAGTGACTGAACTGAAGTGAATTGAGCAAAGATCTCAGGCCAAGATTTTGTTTGACTCTATTTTGTATCTGTTTCATCACCTCCTATTGCCTCTCTTTTTGTTTACTGTGATTACGTCTAGTTAAAAGAAAGAAATTCCCAGGAACCTGGGACACATCATTTTATGCTTTGTCGTTGTTTAGTTGCTAAGTCTTGTCTGACTCTCTGCGACCCCATGGACTGCAGGACCCCAGGCCTCCCTATCCCTCACTATCTCCCAGAGTTCACCCAAGTTCATGTCCATTGAATCAGTGATGCTATCCATTTTATGCTTACTTCAGGAATAGGAGGGATACAGCTGAAACAGTCCTATGATGTGCTGTGAAAGAAACCTTTGGAAGCCAGAAATTGTAGTATTGGGAGGCTATCCTTTCTCTGGGGTCCTTGGAACGATTGAGGACTGCTGTATTAGCAGGAAATGATGGTTCCTAACTTCTTTCTTCTCCTCCACCCTGTTCTCAGGCTTCAGGAATTAATAATAGGAAGCCTGAAGCTGGAGAGAGAACACATTCTCAGTGTCAGAACTGCAGGAGACAGCCCTCCCCTTCAGCTGCAGTGTAACACTCTTCGTAGTTTTTTACAAAATGATGTTGCCTGCACTCTTTAGGTTCAGCTGACTTATAGTGTCGTGCTTCGTGTGTGTTATAGGAACCTAGTCATTTCATAGCATCAAATCTTTACATTTATGGAAAAAGGTATTATAAATTCTATACTGACTCAAAAAATGAATTTTTTTGCCCATTGCTGGTTTGTACTTTGAGGGTTTTCTATATTTGCTGTGTTTGATATAATGAAATTAAATAGAGAAGATGGGACTGTAGAAAAAGTTTCAGAATCAACTGGTTCATTTTCTTACTCCTTTGTGACTGGGATTAATTTTTTCTCTGAAGTCTAATTTGCTGTAGAAGTATTAACTTCATAAAATCACTAAAGTCGTGGTGTTTAACAAGAAATATCAAATATATATGTACAATTTTTGTGACAAATAATTTTTAAAATGCTGATAAAAGATTTTGACTAGTTAGAATGTTAGTATTTTGTTTAAAATGTGAATTATATGGCACTCAAATACAGTGATTGGAGAAGGCAAACCCCACTCCAGTACTCTTGCCTGGAAAATTCCATGGACGGAGGAGCCTGGTAAACTGCAGCCCATGAGGTTGCTGAGTCGGACATGACTGAGCGACTTCACTTTCACTTTTCACTTTCATGCATTGGAGAAGGAAACAGCAACCCACTCCAGTGTTCTTGCCTGGAGAATCCCAGGGACAGGGGAGCCTGGTGGGCTGCCGTCTATGGGGTCACACAGAGTTGGACACGACTGAAGCGACTTAGCAGCAGTAGCAGCAGATACAGTGATAAATAAATGATTGATTTTCATGTATTTGGGGTGGTGTCTCATGTTATGGTGTTTGAAGGGATGTGGGTAAATAAGGGTTTGCGACCTAAGGTGCCTAGATTCTTACTTTGCAATTTAGACAGTAGTTGAGAATTGCCGGGGTCCAGCCCCAGCAGGGTCCAGGGGAACCCTCAGGATGAACCGCGTCGGCGAGAGAAGACAGACAGACAGACACCCACACACAGACGTTGAGTAGAAGAGTAGCTTTTTTTTTTATTTTTAGGATAGCTCAGTTTTTATAGAATGAATGTTACCTCCCCCTTAAGTCACCACATATTACATCAGATATTGGTTTGTGCTTCCGTCAATATTTTTTTCCCATGTTTTTCCCCTAAGCATTCATCTAGAACGTTTCCGATTGCAGGGTTTATACTTAAATAGCCCGTACATAATCTTCTTGCTTCAATGGCCTAACATTCTCACTCTAACAAAAACAATGTTTCATAAATCTCAGGTATAGTGTAAATTCTTTGGAGAATAAAACAATACATGGGAAGGGTTACAGTAACATGTTTGACATTTCTGAAAATAGTACCATGAGAAAAATCTGATATTTTTCTTTATCTGAAACCACAAAATCTCATTTACAACGATTAACCATTAAACAGCAAAAACACCTCTAAAGCAGCAAAACATCTCTATTAATAGTAAGATAATGGCAGTAAAGCTGGTTAATATAAATCTTCTATTAAAATCTTATATACCCCATTTTCTAATTTTACAAAAATACCCATAATATCCCATGTTGTTTAAAGAAATGGAAACAATGAGCAAATAGCTGCAAGGAAATAGCAATAGTGAAAACCCTTTCAACCAAGGAGCAAGTAAACTAAAGTAGTATATCTACTTCTAAATCTAAACACCTCTACTCTTTTCTATTCTAGAACATTATAATCTTTTAAGCAAGCAGCCAAACTATACCTGTGGCCTTTTCTTTTATGACTTGATGTTTATGGTCGTGTCCTGAGCCAGAGCAATCTTGAGCATTTCCAGAAAGGCTTGGACTTTTCCAGTGAGGCCTTATTACTATAAATTATCATTTCCAAAAATTAATAGAAAGCCCAACAACAGTAAGACAGAAGGAAGAAAGGGACATACCGGGTCCCGGGGACAACCTCGAGGGGAAGAGCTGCCTAGCTGATTCCTTTCTTGTCCCGTGACCTTGTCCCCGGGACAACCTCGAGGGGAAGAGCTGCCTTGCAGGTTTCTTTCTCGTCCCAGCGGCTCCCAACAGAGAATGTTCAAGATTTTATGTTTTCTTACATTAAAGAGCTTCCCTGGTGGCTCAGATGGAAAAAAATCTGCTTGCAGTGCAGGAGACCTGGGTTTGATTGCTAGGTCAAGAAGATCCCCTGGAGAAGGGAATGGCAGCCCACTCTAGTATTCTTGCGTGGAGAATTCCTTGGACAGAGGAGCTTGGTGGGCTATATACCATGGGGTCACAAAGAGTCAGACACAACTGAGCAACTAACACTTTCACTCTCATACTAACATGTTATATACATGTAATCCATATGCAATACATTAAATTTTAAAAGCATACTTAAATTTCTATGTTTATATAAATTTGGCTTATATTTGTTTTTGGTATATGTACCTTGCTGAAGCATTAATTCTACTTTTGCTACTATCTGCTGGTCATTTCTATCTAGTTATCTCTCTGGCATTTTAAATTTAGTGTGTTCATATTGACCCAATCATATTTTCCCCGTAAATCCAGTTCTCTTATAGTCTACATTTCCATTTAATGTTCTCACCATCTTTCAAGTCTCAAGCTTAAAGTTTAGTGTCACTTTTAACCTCTGACATTTTGAAATCTGTAATGACTCTCACTTCTCAACTTTTATTCTCTATTCTTACAAAGACAAGACTAGTTTTGGATCTTGATCAATAGTTCTTCAACTTTGCTGATCATCAGAACTGCTTTTTAGGGGGAAAAAAACACAGAATCCACCTCCCCTCATAGCTCCATCCTCACATATAGATTTTCATTCAGAAGGTCTAGATATGGTCCTTGGATCTGTTTGTTGTCAGCCTTCTGATGCTTCAGTTGGTTTGGGAACCACTGACCTAGACCAGTACCTCCCTCATTGGCTGCTAACGATAGGTTCTTCTTGCCCCTTCACACCTGATGTCTAGGCTGTGTATTCTGCCTCACTGGGAGCCTCCTAGATTTGAATTCTGGCATTACAGCTCTGAATGTGACTTTTGACAGTATTTTGTACCTCTCTTTGAGGGTTTTTCAGGAATGTCTATGGTTCCTTGCTGACTTTTCAGCCATATTTTCTGTTGTTTTCTTAATATTTTTCTACCATTGGTTCTGTTGCTTCTGATTTTTTCCCTTAATGTGACTGCATGTTTATTCTTCAAGAACTATTTATCAGATGATCCCACTTTCTTCAATTCCCTAAAGTAGTCCTTTCCTCAGAAATATCTTAATTTCTTATCAGGGTCTTTTTGAATTTATTTTACTTTTAAAATTTATTACTATTTTGGCCTCACTGTGCAGCTTGCAGGATCTCAGGTCCCCAGTCAGGCATTGAACCTGGGCCAGGTCAGTGAAAGTGCCGAATCCTAAACACTAGACCACTAGGGACCTCCCTTAGGATCTCTTTTAATACTAATAATAACTAACATTTACTGAGCATATGGTAAGCAGTTTGTAATGGTTGTTACTTAATTTAAACCTCACAATAACCCAAGAGAGATACTATTAATTTGCATGTCTACTGATAAAGAATCTGAGACACAGAGAAGTGGCTCTTCACAAAATCACACGGGAATTCAGAAGGAGAGCCAGGGTTTGGATCTAGGTAAAGAATCCGCCTGCAGTGCAGGAAACACAGAAGATGTAGGTTCGATCCCTAAGTCCAGAAGATCCCCTGGAGAAGGAAATGGCAACCTACTCCAGTTTTCTTGCCTGAAAAATCCCATGGACAGAGGAGCCGGCAGGCTGTTTAGTCCAAAGGGTCACAAAGAGTCGGACAATGAGCGACTAAGCACACAATCTGAATTCAGAGTCTGTAGTCTCATCCATTAGACCATACCAGTTCTTTTAAGGTCTGGTCACTTTCTCTTCTGTGCCAAATGTATTTATATTTATGTTGCTGTATTTTCTCCCATTGCTTGCATGAGGAAGGAATGATTAATCTTTTTTTTAATCCACAGAACCTAGCTTAATGCCTTCCATATGTATATGCTGGTATAGGTGTTTTCTCTTTGAAGGTATGCATGCACATACATTTTTTTTTTCTTTGCAGTTTTCAAACAGAAGACTATAACCAGTTGGATGGACACTAAAGGAATCAAGACAGTGGAATCAGAAAGGTATAGAAACATGCTTATCTAGAGTAATGAATAATGTGATATATGGATGTTATATCATGTTTTATGCTATTTTCTCTCCTTTTTGCTTTCACACTTTTCTTTATTGACATTTCAGTTAATTCTGTATGCCAGGGATGGTTTAGTATACTTGAGATGCAGAGATGAAAAACAGTAGTCTCCGTCTAAGATACTTACAGTGTAGTGGTGCTGACAGACACCAAAAAACACATGATTCTTACATGGTGTGATCAATGCCACAGTAAAGATATAAACAAGGTAGTTATAAACTACCTTGATATAACAGTGGTAGTTAGCATGTAGAACAGACAGTCAGCTTTACCTTTGCAAGAAAGACTGCACAGGTGAATGAAGGTGAATGAAGTTTAACACTGCATTCTAGCTGGTGTTTGCCAGGCACACAGTTGGGAAAAGGGCATTATAGGCAACTGTGCAAGTGTATGGAGTCATGAACATATGGAGCATGCTATATGCTCAGGTAATCGCAGGTTTAATTATTGCTATGATATTGTAGGACTGTGTTTGGGTAAGTGACTTTTTTGTGTCATAAATTCTTTCCATTGTGTTATAAGTTCTGTTGTATCATTCTTTCTATTCTTTTACAGTTTGCATAGTAAAGAAAACAACAATACAAGAGAAGAATCCATAATGAGTTCTGTACAAAAAGATAACTTTTATCAACATAACATGGAAAAATTAGAAAATGTTTCTCAGCTAGGTTTTGATAAGTCATCAGTTGAAAAAAGTACACAGTATTTGAACCAGCATCAGACTGCAACTATGTGTAAGTGGCAGAATGAAGGGAAACACTCACAACGGCTTTTGGAAAGTGAACCTCCAGCAGTAACTCTGGTATCAGAGCAGTTCAGTAATGCTAACGTTGATCAGTCACCCCAGAATGATGACCACAGTGACGCAAACAGTGAGGAGAGTAGAGATAATCAACAGTTTTTGACACATGTAAAGCTTGCGAATGCAAAGCAGACAATGGAAGATGAACAGGGCAGAGAAACCAGAAGCCACCAGAAGTATAGCAAGGCTTGCCATCCTGCAGAAGACTGTGCAGGGTGTCAGCAGGAAGAGACAGACGTGGTGCCAGAGAGCCCCTTGTCGGACATTGGCTCTGAGGATGTTGGTACTGGACTGAAAAATGCCAACAAATTGAGTAGACACGAAAGTAGTCTAGGAAATTCTCCTCCATTTGAGAAAGAAAGTGAACCTGAGTCGCCAATGGATGTAGATAATTCCAAAAATAGTTGTCAGGATTCAGAAGCAGATGAAGAGACAAGTCCAGGTTTTGATGAACAGGAAGATAGCAGTTCTGCTCAAACAGCAAATAAACCTTCAAGGTTCCAACCAAGAGAAGCTGACACTGAGTTGAGGAAGCGGTCCTCTGCTAAGGGAGGTGAGATTCGATTACATTTCCAATTTGAAGGAGGAGAGAGTCGAGCTGGAATGAATGATTTGAATGTCAAACTACCTGGAAGTACTTCTAGCCTGAATGTAGAGTGCAGGAATTCTAAGCAACATGGGAGAAAGGATTCTAAAATCACAGATCATTTCATGAGAATGCCCAAAGCAGAGGACAAAAGGTAATTTTTACCATCAAGAGTATCTTCAGAAGGGTAATGTGTTATGTAATTTTGTGAGGGGGAGTTTCACGAACTTCTGGTTTGCACTGAAGGCAAGAAATAGTTGTTTTTCTTATTAATTAATAATGCATGATTTATTTTTTTTTATAATGCATGATTTAAACTTAGACTCAAATGTTAAATTCTAAAAATCACAGAAACAGAAAAGAAGTAAATAATTAATCAGATATTAATTTCATCAACTTCCTTCTGAGATTTATGGGAATTGCTTGGTCATAAATATGATAGTAACTACTGTTATCTTAGGCTACTGTATATGCATTTTCTCTAATGCTCTGACGGCAGACGGGTGGTATTGCACTCACTTCACAAGTGAGAAAACTGAAATTGGTTAGAAAATTCACTGAAATTATGTAACTTGTAGGGAGTAAAGCTGGGATTTAAATCCCAGCCTGTATGATTACAAAAAAAATGTAAGTATAAAAATTATCTTAAAGCCCTCTCCATAATTTTTGTGATCTTTTATGGCAAGGATGCCGTAGTAAGTTCACTTCATTGAAAATTATTGTCTCGAGTCCTAAAAAGTAGCTGATACTGTGAAACATGACTCGTTTGGCAAAGTACCTATTCTTTTACAAGGCCCCTTTTTTCAGAAGGTGATTTACATGTGTTTGGAAATTCCTTCCACAGACTATTGAAAATAAGCTCTTGGGTTTTACTGTAAGCCTTATAAGGTTTTTTTGTTGTTTTGTTTTTTCTAAATACCAAGGAGAAAGAGCAAGTTTGGCACATTTTAAACAATAACTTCTGGGTAAGTGTTTTTACTTGTGTATCTAAGTGAATTTAAACAGTGAGTGGTTTGTGATTGAATATATTTGTTTTTGATCTTAGAAAAGAACAATGTGAAATGAAACATCAAAGAACAGAAAGGAAGATCCCTAAATACATTCCACCTCACCTTTCTCCAGATAAGAAATGGCTTGGAACTCCTATTGAGGAAATGAGAAGAATGCCAAGGTGTGGGATCCGGCTGCCTCCCTTGAGACCGTCTGTCAATCACACAGTGACTATTCGGGTAGATATTACCTCTTACCTATAAAGAGAGAAGGTGCTAAGTTTCAGTTTATTGTGATACTTGTGAAAAACAGACCAATGCATAGAAAGTGCTTCTCTTTTCTGCATATATAAAGTACTGAGAAGTTTATAGAATAGAGAAATATAATGATAGGTTACTTAACACAGTACTTAACAAATCTGTAAGATGAATCACTGTTAACTGCTGAGGATATTGAATATTCTGTATTGTTTAGAAAATTTATTGAATTAGAAAATTCAATTGACAATATTTATTGAGTACCCAGTACATGTTAGATACTAAAATTCAAAATTGTATGTTATTCAGTATCCTCAAATTATTCTCCAGTTTTATCCTCTTTTTCTGAGCTTTAGATTCTTTTAGACATCCCCATCACTATCCCATAGGTATCTCAAACTCAGCATTTCTAAAACCAACCTCATTTAAAAAAAAAAAACTGTGGTTAAATGTACATAATATGAAGTTTACCAACTTAATCATTTTTTAAGTGTACATTTCAGTGGCAGTGTCATACAACCATCACCACTGTTCATTTCCAGAAATTTTTCATCTTCCTGCACATAAGCTCTACCTACTAAACAGTAACTTCTCATTCCTCACTAACCCTGGTAACCTTTTTCATACTTTTCATGGGTTCTTAAAAAAAAAAAAGAAAAACTTTATTGAGCATTTTAAGTGTTCAGTTATATTTAGTTAGTTTACCAAGTTAGGCAACCATCGCCATAATCCAATCTTAGAATATTTCTGTCACTCTTGGAGTAGTTTTAAATATTCACATCTTAGGAATTCCCTGGCTCTTCAGTGGTGAGGACTCAGTGCTTTCACTGTCATGGGCCTGGTTTGATTCCTGGTCAGGAAATTAAGATCCCACAAGCCATGTGGCATGGCCAACAAAAACAACACAAAAAAGAATCCATGCGGGATTAAATATTCATCTCATTTATTAGGTTCTATATTAGATTTCACAGGGGCTACTTAAAAAAAAAATCTCTGTTCTTATACAACTTAGCCTATATGTGATTAAATATTTTGAAGTACAGAATTCATTAATGTGGTTAGGTAAAAGCAACATAGAGCAGGGTGGTGGAGGTTGAGCTGAGTTCTTAAAGATGAGAGGAAATTTCTGAAATGGAGTTAGTAAGGCAAGGGAATTGCAGATAGGTATATAACCTTTATAGGAAAAGGCTGTGCAGTTTAAAACTTTTACAAATGGAAAGCAGTTGATTTGCTGGAACTGAGTATTTGGATGGAAAATGGTGGAAGAGAAGACTTGAAAAGTAGTTTGGGTTCATATTGTAGAGGGCTTCAGGTATCAGAAACTGAGTCTATGAGAAATTAAATCTATAAGAATTGGAAATCGTGAAAATGTCTGTGCAGACAATAGTACTATATACATAGCAAGGTTGATCAGACAGCTATTTGTGAGGAAGACTGAAGTGAGGATACATTGGACACAGGAAAAGGTAAGAGCTTGGTTAAGAGATGAAAAGTAAGCAAACAGTAGTTATCAAATTGTGCTTCGTGAAAGTGGCTCAGGGGTTCTTTTGATATTGACTCAAATTTCTTTTTTAAACTGTATATTTAACTATGAAAAACCTGTTGTAAAAGAACTAACATGTGTTTACTTTTAAAAATGCTTAATACTGGTTTTTTTTTTTTTTGGCTTAATACCAAATTTTAACCAGCAGGTTTTACCAAGAGAACTCATTTTTGGGCAGGTCATAGAATCAGGGTTCTCTTGCTACTGCTGTTTGAAGTATTTCCTTAAATATCAAAATAACAGTGTAAAAAAGTTACCATCTGCCAGCTGTTTAGGTGTGTGGATAGGATTTTCTTAATATTGGATGAGAGATATAAATAGATTGATGAAAGCTTTAGCTGTCATCTCTCTCAATTTCATAGTCCTTCAGTTAGTCTCTTTGCTATTGATAAAATTGTAAAGTCACTCTAAAAATTATATTTATTAAAATAGCTTTTATTTAAATATGATTTTGTATTAGAATTCATAGGGAAAAAAGAGTTCTGCTCTTTAAAAAAGTTTGGAAATAACTGAGACGGGGTAGTAATTGTGGGAATATAAAAGAATAAATGCAAATTGTTTTGAGATTATATTGATAGGACACTGAATTCTTAAGCATGGGTGATAAGGGAAAAGGAGGCATTGATAATGTGTGTGAAATTAAGAAAAGGTTTGAGTGACTGACAAGATATTAATGGTTAAGATTTGGAAAAAAGATTGATCAGAGGAAAAAAGTGATATTTTGACTTTTCCTGCTTCCTCTTTCCCACTGTCCACAAAGAAAACCTAAAGCATCTTATACCATCATTAATTAATCTCTGTAATTACTGTTTGTCAAATATCCAATGAATTTATGAAAGTTGTATTACAAAAGTAATACAGGGTCAGTAAAAAAAGTTTAAGAATTTGATGTGTTATCTTCTAGATTCTTTTTCCTGAATATGGTAGTATAGTATGCTATATGTATAATTAATATTTGTTAAATAGACAGTCCTTAGATACATTTCTAAGATGCCAGATATTAATAGTTACAGAATTTGAAGTCATAATATAAAGCTGACATTTAGTGTTAGAAATGGAAGACAATCTGAAATTGCATGGACATGATAACACTTGATTATCTGTAAATGCACTCATGCATGCAACATACATTCACACACAAACATATACACACATATAGGCAAACACATGTATAAGCATGTGCTATACACCTGCATAGACACATTTAAACAGACAGACACCCAAAGATACATATATTCTTATATATTATGTTGCCCTATGTGTGAAGCTCTACTGGTACCTGTTTTTGTCACCTTAGATGACATGGAAGATCTTTACAAAGTCATCTTTGGGGTCCCCATTTGGAGGACAAAATACTTTTGGCAGGATTGATGTCTCGGCCACTTTTGAATCTTGAACATCCTTTATTGTTTCCTCCTTGGAATATTCTCATCCTTTGGCTTCTTTGATGCCATATATTCCTGATTTTCTTCCTGCCTCCTTAAACCCTTGCTTTGTTCCTTTTAGCTTTTTTTCTGTATGTGGCCCTTAAATGTTGTTAGAGTTCCCCAGGACTTTTTCATATGTCCTCTTATTTTTTCCTCTCTTGGAATAGTCTTATACATACTTGTGGTTTTAATGGTTACCTGTATAAAAGGCCTACAAATTTATTTCTCTTGGGTTACAGTCTTTTAATGAAGCTGCCTATTTAACAGTCTTTCCTTCCATAGGCTGTTCCTTTTTTTTGTCCCTTTCACCTTTTCCTACTTATTTTTAACCTTTGGAGTTGAGCTCAACTGCTGCTTCCTCGAAGAAGGATTCCCTAAGCTCACCACATAAGTTAAAATTGTCTAGAAAGATTCTTGTGACATTATGAACCTCTCATTTATAGCATCTTACAGTTGAAATTTTATATTTATTTGTGTAATTATTTGATGATTGACAGTGAAGTTCTGATTAATGCTATATGGTATGGATGAACCTTGAATATATTTATTTATTTATTTATCCAAGTGCATATATACACACTTTGAAGGCAAAAGGAGAAGGGGGCAGCAGAGGATGAGATGAGTAGATAGCATCACCGACTCAGTGGACGTGAATTTGAGCAAACTCCAGGAGATAGTTGGAGGACAGAGAAGCCTGGTGTGCTGCAGGCCACAGGGTCACAAAGAGTCGGATACAACTTAACAACTGAACAACAGCAACAATGTGTGTATATATATAGTTGACCCTTGAACAGTTTGAGGGTTAGGGTGCCAACCTTCTGGGCAGTCAAAAATCCGAGTATAGTTCCCACCTCCATCTGAAAAATAAAATAAAATAACTGATAAAAGTAAAAAAAAAAAAAATCCCAGTATAACTTTACAGTTGGCCCTCTGTATCTGAGGTTCCGCTTTCAGCAATTCAATCAGCTGCTGATAGTGTGGTGCTATAGTATGTATTTATTGAAAAAGATAATTGTATAAGTGAACCTGCGCAGTTCAAACCCATGTTGTTCAAAGATCAACTGTATGTATATAAACACTTATACATATTAAAAACATACATGTTTGGCTCTGTTGTAAATACTCAAAATACAAAGTTAATATAGTTATTATTCTTAAGTTTAGAGTCCCAGTGGAGGAGGGGAAAAAGTGTGCTCTAGTATGATAATGATCCAATAAAATGAGAGAATAAACTTACTGCCTATTAGAAAGTTTTTAAAGACTTCTTATAGGAAATGAAAATTGAGCTGAGTATTGCATGTTGATGTTTAAATAGATAGTGTTAAAAAAAAATAGTGTTTTGGGTAAGAGAGGATGTTAAAAATTGGAATCATTTAGAATCTGTATAGGCAGAAGGGAGCCATTATAGGATTAGAAGGTTGGGGATACTTTAGAAAGATATTATTCCCAAGTGGGGATAAGGGTTTTATGTTTGATGAATGTATCTGGGAGCAGTTGGGAATTAGGGAGAGGGATAGAAAGCTATTATCAGAAATTCAGTCAAAGATTAATAAGGACTAGGGCACTGGATGGGATGAAGATAGAGTGCCCAAGACATGATGATTTGGAAACTCACTGAAGGTAATGAGTGGGAACAACTGAAAAAGACTTATGAGATTTCTTGCCTAGAAGCTGGTCTGTATTTTTATAGCATTTACTTCAGCTGATTTCTTTGGATTATTTTACAGAAGATATGCCTAGTTTTTATGCACTTACAGTTTTCTTGCATTTCAGGTAGATCTTTTGCGAATAGGAGAAGTTCCTAAACCTTTCCCAACACATTTTAAAGATTTGTGGGACAACAAGCATGTTAAGATGCCTTGTTCAGAACAAAACTTGTACCCTGTAGAAGATGAGGTGAGAACAAAATTGAACAGAACTCATGTTCTTTTAGTCTCTGAAAGATATTTTAATGCTTGCTGTTTGGCTTCTGATTCTGCCATGTAAGACAACTTGGAATAGTTTCCTCATGTTTTTCTTTTCCTTAAAGAATGGTGAGCGAACTGCAGGGAGCCGGTGGGAGCTCATTCAGACTGCACTTCTCAACAAGTTCACTCGACCCCAAAACTTGAAGGTATGTTCTTTTGTAATTTTTGTCTCTTAACATGTAGTTCTTAGAGATGAGCCCTGGTCTTTTCCTTCAGAGATGTTGTTTGATCTTTAAAAGACTTAGGTAACAGCAAAGCCTCTTAACGAAAGTGAAAGAGGAGAGTGAAAAAGTTTGCTTAAAGCTCAACATTCAGCAAACTAAGATCATGGCATCTGGTCCCATCACTTCATGGGAAATAGATGGGGAAACAGTGGAAGCAGTGCCAGACTTTATTTTTTGGGGCTCCAAAATCACTGCAGATGGTGATTGCAGCCATGAAATTAAAAGACGCTTACTCCTTGGAAGGAAAGTTATGACCAACCTACGTTGCATATTAAAAAGTAGAGACATTACTTTGCCATCAAAGGTCCATCTAGTCAAGGCCATGGTTTTTCCAGTGGTTATGTATGGATGTGAGAGTTGGACTGTGAAGAAAGCTGAGCACCGAAAAATTGATGCTTTTGAACTGTGGTCTTGGAGAAGACTCTTGAGAGGCCCTTGGACTGCAGGGAGATCCAACCAGTCCATCCTAAAGGAGATCAGTCCTGGGTGTTCATTGGAAGGACTGATGCTGAAGCTGAAACTCCAGTACTTTGGCCACCTCATGTGAAGAGTTGACTCACTGGAAAAGACCCTGATGCTGGGAGGGATTGGGGGCAGGAGGAGAAGGGGACGACAGAGGATGAGATGGCTGGATGGCATCACCGACTCGATGGACATGAGTTTGGGTGAACTCCAGGAGTTGGTGATGGACAGGGAGGCCTGGTGTGCTGCGATTCATGGGGTCACAAAGAGTCGGACACGACTGAGCGACTGAACTGAACTGAATAGCATTATTTGTATGCAAAGTGTTTGCTTCCTGAGGAACTCTCTTTAGAGACTTTCTTGGTTTATACTTCATCTCTAGGTAATGAGTAGAAGAATTGAGAGTTGTAAATGACTTGCCTGGAGCCACATGGAATAAGACCTGTTTCTTGATTCCCCATCCAATTTCCTTTGATCCTGGGCTTTGCTTTGCTTTTTGTTTTAGAATTATCCTGCTTCTGAAATGTCTTTAAAAGTAAATCAGGGAAGAATTACCACTTCATCATTGTTTGCCCAAAGGGAAGCATAGTTTGCTAATGATTAAACATTGTACTTTTTATTGCTTTTAATAACAGCTTCTAGCAGTTTCATAATTTATTAATCTTATATTTTGGCAATAATTTATTTTTTGATTTAAAAAGTATTTCGTTTAAGTCCGTAAGGGCAACCATTAGATTGTTTTGAGTATATGTTTATTTTTGGCACTATAGCCTTATATAAACTTTTAAAGTTTTTACAACTATAAACAGATTTTTTATACTTTTGTAAAACTGGCTTTGTTCTCTTTGAGAAATTAATTTGTTATGTACTGTTTCTTAAGTTTTTTACTGAGTTTTCATGTATATTTATAAGTTATTCTTAACTTTCTGTACCTTTTCCATCGCTCCCTTTTTTCTTTCCTTAGCTCTTGTTTTCCCTTCATATGAAAAACAGTGGTACATTGTACCATAATATATTTTGAAAATTTCATTTCTTAGGGATAGCATTTCTCAGCCTTATAATTACTTTTTTTAAATGAGAGAAATTCTCAGGGTCTGCCAGAGCTTACTTATTGTTAATATGTTAATTACATGTGCACAAACATAAACATACATTAATTACATATGTACAAACATAAAACTGAATAAATCTCTTTATACTTATATCCAGTTATATCAATTTGATTTTTTCCATTTTAAACATATTGACCCATCATTTGAGTTGTGTTCATTATCACTGTGAAAACAATTTGTAATCAGTATTTGCTTTTTGCACAGATATGCTTAAACACATATCTGAGCCCCAGAATAGTATGCTGATAAACTTAAAAATTATACTGTATGAAGATAAAATTCTTTGTGTTTACTACTTTTTAACTTATCACAGTTGGTGAATGTTGGTAGAGGGAAAGATGGGGTCTCTATGCAGAATATCAGCTTGCAAATAAATGCGATAGGTTCAGGTTTTTAAGAATTTGACATTCCTCTACTGCAGTGCATCTTAGGTACTTCTTTATTTAAAGTACCAGCTTTCGTTTCTACAGTGTGTTGTTTTTCTGGCCTTTGTATTCATTCCAAACTGACTGTAGCCATGAAATTAAAAGACGCTTGCTCCTTGGAAGAGAAGCTATGACAAACATAGAGAGCATATTAAAAAGCAGAGACATTACTTTGCCATCAAAGGTCCGTCTAGTCAAGGCTATCGTTTTTCCAGTGGTCATGTATGGATGGGAGAGTTGGACTATAAAGAAAGCTGAGTGCTGAAGAATTGATGCTTTTGAACTGTGGTGTTGGAGAAGACTCTTGAGAGTCCCTTGGACTGCAAGGAGATCAAATCAGTCAATCCTAAAGGAAATCAGCCCTGAATATTCATTGAAAGGACTGATGCTGAAGCTGAAACTCCAATATTTTGGCCACCTGATGAGAAAGAACTGACTCATTGGACAAGACCTGATGCTGGGAAAGATTGAAGGCAGGAGGAGAAGGGGTCAACAGAGGATGGATGGTTGAATGGCATCACCGATTCAATGGACATGAATTTGGGCAAGCTCTGGGAGTTGGTGATGGGCAGGGAACCTGGCATGCTGCAGTCTATGGGGTCAGAGAGTCCGACATGACTAAGTGACTGAACTGAGCTGATTCATTCCAAAACCACATTTATAAACTCTAAAGCACAAGCAGACCAATCAGGAATACTGTCCAGATTCTATATGAAAAACACTAATTTAGGGCCTTTAATAGCCTTACAAACAGGATTATTTAAGAATTTATGTATTTTTTTTAAACACAAATACATAGTAATCATAGTGTTCTAAATTACATTGCTGCTCACCTCTTTTAGCAATTCCTTAGTGTGCTGTGATTATTTTATCTTTTATTTATTTTTTTCATTTATTTTTGTTAGTTGGAGGCTAATTACTTTACAATATTGTAGTGGTTTTTGCCATACATTGACATGAATCAGCCATGGAATTTACATGTGTTCCCCATCCTGATCCCACCTCCCACCTCCCTCCCCATCCCATCCACCATGATTATTTTAAAAAGGGGTAATTAATTTAATCTGAATTTCCCTTTCTTGTTTATTTTATGGTAGATTCGGCGTAACAGAGTAATCTATCAAGATTTTCTTCTCTTGACTTAATGGTAATTGTTTCCTTTGATGAAGGAGCACAATGAGAGGGAAGGGAAAACATTAAATCCTTCTTATAGAATATAATAATATTTTGCTGTGTTTTTTTTTTTTATGCCATTGATGTTGAGAGGGATTAGAGATGTTATAAGTTTAAAAAAGCAACAGTGTCCTAGGGCTTCCCTGGTGGCTCAGAGGGTAAAAAAGCAACAGTGTCCTCAAAAGTTGGTTTACACTGTAATATTTCTATGAATAATATGTCTGATAATTTGCAAAGAATGGGCTTCTTTGTGCTTTAACTTGTACTTATTGTGAATTATGAACTGAAAAAAAAATCACTCATCTAAGAATACTGTATGGAGTAGCACCCAGGCTTCCCAGGTGGCGCTAGTGGTAAATAACCTGCTTGCCAATGCAGGAGGCATAAGCAACATGGGTTCGATCCTTGGGTCAGGAAGATCCCCTGGAAGAGAGCATGGCAACCCACTCCATTATTCATGCCTGGAGAATCCCTGTGGACAGAGGAGCCAGGTGGACTACAGTCCATAGGGTCACATAAAGTTGGACACTACTGAAGCGACTTAGCATGCACACAGTTTTTCTCGTGATAGGAGACCTCGTGGTGGACTACTTTTGAGACTTGAAGACTGAAGTAAAGTAAATATTAGTTAGGAGTTAATGCTAATTATACAACTCCACTAAAGAATTAGAATATAAATGCTATTTAGAATGTTTTTCCTTACCAACTTTGAGGAATAATTTACATATAAGATAGTACATTCTTTTAAAGAATGTAACTTGATGAAGTTTGACATTGGCATATACACTTGAAGCTCTCACTGCAGTCAAGATACAGAGCATTCCTGTCACTCTGCAAAGATTTTTCTTACCACTTTGTGATCGAATCTCTTCGAGGCTTGGCAGGGCAAAAGGGACGCTTCTCGAGGTGAGGCAGGGCACCCAAGGACCCTTTCCAGTAGCCACAGGGATTTTGGGATTCCTATCAGTATTCAAGAGGAGTCAGGCATCGTCACCTTTTGAAGCAGTGAACTCCGCGTGCCTCTCGAGGTGTCAACGGGATGTGAGGAATTCCGTCAAAATGAGGCAGGGACCTAGGGCTTTTCTCTAATCTCCACAGGGGATTCAGACATCCCTTCATGTTGTGAGATGAAAGACGAGCCTGTATTCAAGCCACTGCAAGGAAATCCGGCCTCCTTTCAAGTTAGGGCTTCTCGCTGTATATTCCACTTGAGGCAGCAAACTCGGGGTCCCTCCCACATACCTATTGCTGAGAGAAGCCTCCTCTTGAGGTGCTTCTGGAAGGTTGGCATACATCTTGAGCCTCAGCCAGGGAATCAGCTCTCATCTCGAGACGATTTGGGGTACACGGAGCATTCCTCGAGTTGCTGTGCTGAAGTTGGTGTTCCTCTAGACTTGGGACAGTGTGCTCGGGGCATCTCTGGAGTTGCCTGAAGGAAGTCAAGCCACTGGTCGTGTTGAATGCGGAACGGGGGATGGCTCTGGAGTCAATGCAGGGGAATCGGGCCTCATCTCGAGTTGATTTGGGGCACATGGAGCTGCTTTGCGTTGCTGGGGTGACCTCAGGGTCCGTCTAGACTTGTGACAGTGTTCTTGGGGACTGTCTCGAGATCCATTAAGCAAGTCGAAGCTCCTGACTTGTTTGATGGGGATCACGGAATAGCTCTGCATGCACTGCAGGGGAATGGGGCCTCATCTCGCCTCTAGGGGGAAGTCTCATGGTTTTTCTCGAGTTGCGGCGGGGACCTGGG